CAAAATCTAACTTGGTAAACTAAAAATTTCTCCCTAGATGATCCAAGAGATCAATAGTGTGAGGAAGATGGTACACATCTGGGATTATCACTTCGTTTAACGGATAATAATCGATGCAGAGATGAATACTCCCATCAGGCTTCATCACAAGATGAGGTTCATACGCCTAAGAACTCCATGACTTCTAAATAACTCCCTTTTCCAACATCTCTTTGACATTGGCATATAAAATTTTGATCTCTCTAGGTGATTAATGATGAACAGGAACCTTAATTATATAAGCATCCTCAATTGGAATAGGATGACATGTTGCAATCTTAGCCCTAGATGATAGGCCAAATTCAAAGAGAGCAACATACTCCTTTATGAGTTGGTCAACCACTACAACACAAAGACTGTTGGAGGGATCGGAAAAAGAAAGAAAGGTACAAGATAGAAACTTAGAAGGAAGTAAAAAAGAGATAAAAGTGATGGAAACAAAGGTAGGAACAAAGGGATGAAAAGGTATAAAAGTGAAAAGAATGAAAGAAATATTAAGAAGGATAAAACAAGGGGGAGAAACCTCAAAATCACACTTGGTATGATTGCGCGACAACCAATCTATACCAAGGATGAGGTCAAAAGCTTAACTCAGCACCACCTACAATGATTGCAATTCAAGCTCAAGATCACCTAAACGCATAACCATGTTTATTTTATCTTATGCACAGTACAGTTGTTGCTATAAAGAATGAAAACTATCTCTACTGCATGATGCAAATGCAAATGGCAATATGTGGCAACAAGTCGAGCAATAGAAAATAAACTTAAACTTATATCAACTAACACAGAGAGAATAAAAGGAGACATTTTGTTATAAAAATGAGGTTGGAAAGTAAACACTAGATGGACTGATACCGAATGAACCCCTTGATAATACTCTTGAAAAAAAAATGGAAGGGTCACTAACTTATTCACATAAGATTGTTCCGCTACTCGTGTGACTCCTTGTTTGTTAGATACATCTTGGTGTTAAAACTTTCCACTACAGCAACACTAATAGGACATTGTTGATGCTAAGGTCTCCACCTAGAAAATGGAAGTTGCTAATTTGGAAAACGCTAATAACACCGATAAGTGTGACGAACTTCATCACACACTTAACAACAGATATCATGGTCATGACCATGTCCTTGCCTTTGTCCTTGAATTCGGGCAATGGCAGTATCAACCTCCATTAGAATAGAACCATTTCCCACAAGAAGTAGAAATAAAAGATATATAGTGAGAAGTAAAAGAAGTGACATCTCATAATGTTGTGTTAGATGAAGGGCATCATCAAGGGTGGCTGGAGCAAGTGCATGCACAAGTCCTACAAGATCTTGACAAAGTGCTGGCCACAACATTCCCAACTTGATTTACTTTGACATATTTGGTTCCGCACAAAGCAAGAGGCTTCAGAAACAAATGCCAAATTGCATCACCAATTTAAATGGCCCTTAATAAAGATGATATAATTATTAGAAGGCATTATCATAATTGTTAACATGTCGAAATATGCATTTGAAGATGTCTAAGAGAATACTCCAATCCTCACGAGTGGCTATGCTCAAACTATTATACCACTATAGTGCTATCCTTTACAGATATGTGAGAAACTCATGCAAACATCGAGCATCATCCCAAGAATGATATGTAGCAATCATTGTGAAGTGATCGAACTAATGATACACATCATCCCTAAGATTCTCATGGAAGAACTCTAATCGAACACAAAGATTGGTAGCAAGAGCATGAAGAGTTCTATTACACACTGTGAATGCCACTATCAATTGAGTTTAGTTGTTCAACTACAATCACATAGCATTAAGCAATTGCACAAACTGCTAGTCTAAAGTTAAAGGAGGAGGAGACTATTGCTTTGCTATGAAGAGAAATAAAAAAGAAAGAGCAAAAGAAAAGAAATGAAAAATGCTAAAAGGAAAAAAAGATCTAGACAATGCAAAGATTTAAATAACAAAAAAAAGAAAGTGGAAAAACCTATAAAAAAAAGGGAGATCTAAATAATGTAAAAGCTAAATGTAAACTAAAAATCCTAAATCCAAGCATTCCTCAGCGACAATCAAAGCTACTCGTTAACCCCACTAGTGCGAGTGTATTGAATATAGAAAGAGAATATAGGAAATGTGCATATCAATTAGCCCAAAAACCCTAGCTTATATAAGAGCGAGTAGTCCAAATTGAAATCAATCCGATGGCTATTAAAATCCCACTATGCTAATATTAGTATATGGCATTATAGCTATAGAACATTACAGTAGCATTTTAAATGTAGACTTTTTTATATAATTTAATATAATATACAAAACCTATCATACAAAAGTTTTGAATAGTATATATATGATAGTTTTTATTAAAAACATTATTTACCTATTCTACCATCCTAATATTCTATGAATATCTTACTAAATTTTTTATTTTTAATTTAATTAATATATAAAAATAATTTAGAGAATTATTACACTAGATATTTACACTATTAAAATCAATATAAACATATTTTTAAAAAATAACTTAGAGTCTGTTTATTTATGTATTAGTAATAATTATTATTAGAGTCTGTTATATTCTCAGATTTAAATTTCTTGCTTAATTAATATAATCATAATTACAATATTATGTAATTAAAATATACTACATTTAAAATTTGATTAATTTATAAGAAGATAAATAGTTTTAAATTATTGTTAAGTATATTAAAAATTATATCTATTAAGTGTATATATATATATATATATATATATATATATATATATATATATGATTAAATTCTTATAATACACATATGTAACTCACAAAATAATATTTTGAACAAAACTTATTTTTTATTCATTGATATGCATTAGTGCTCACCATATATGCATAGGAAAGTTTAAGTTTATGCCATATATATCATTTTTTATGCTGTGTAAATTTCAACTCCATTTTAGAATTTTAAACAATTTAGACTTTAGGTTAGGGTTTTTGGGCATGATATTTCTAGTGCAAAAACTAGATTTTAAGAATGCCACAAGTTAAATTTGTCATTACCCCTTATTTAAAACACTCTCCATAATGAGAGTATAGAAAGTAATTTGTGAGTGGTTTTATAACAAATGAAAAAGTTCTTGTATAGATGAGTGCTAAATTGAGGGAAAGCTATAGATTTGTCTATGTCAATGAGATGATATGAGCTTTTACACTTAATAATAATCATGTACTCATGTGTATGTCATTCATACTAACACAAAAATATTAGTTCCTTGGTCATAAAAAGAATTTAGAATGAAAAACTCATTAACATGTGTATTGGAGAGGAATGGGCATAAATTGGTTACTTACTTCTATACAAGCATGACATTGCAATACTTCTTGACACAATTATTGTAATAATTATGAAGTTCAAGCCCAAAAATGAAAAATCTCAAGAAATAAAGCATTATATTGTCAATTTATAAGACACCTAAACACAATAAACCACTATAATGCTCATGTGATTAGGAATGCAAAAAATGGAATGAACATCTTACTACAGTTATAACAAAATCCATTTACTCATAAAAATCTAATACATGTAACACCCCGAACATCCAAAAAAATGTTTTACCTTTGCATTTATGCTTTAATTAATCATGTTTGCCTCTGTGTTAATAGATCACTACCTAGATTAAGGCATTGCAGTACAAATAAGCCACAAGAAATGTGAAGCACTTGTGAGAGTGATTAAAACACTTTTTTTTACATTAAAATTTATTGTAATTGAAATATGCTTCCAAACAGTGAGAAATAAACCATAACCATATGAAATGAGAGGAGAGATAATCACAATCAAAAGATTACAAATTTACATTCAAATGAAAAAAACAACCTTGCTATCTGTAGTGATATCATATTGTTTGAGATGATGTGGCATCAGTTTTCCATGGCAGTTTGAGGTGTCATGCCCCATGCATACATAATATATTCTATGACAAAATTATTATACACACAATTAGCTTATCAATTGAAAAATGATTATTTACATAATATTTAGTATGCAAACTCAATTTTTTAAAAATCCATGTGTAAATATATTATGTTTAATGGTTATTAACATAAAATTCATAAATCTATTGCCAAAGTTAGTTTATAAAACTTTTGAAATCTAAAACATAATCTCACATAAAGTTTTATTCTTACTAACTTAGTATTCTTGAGTTCTTTTATTAATCTTTACATGGTATTCACCTCAAAATGAGCTTTATATTGTAGACTATAATGAAAAAAAAAACACTTTTTTGGGGCAATCCATTTTCGTTTTCAAAGTAATAATAGCAGATTTTCCCTTGCCAAGAAAGAGGAGGGGAAAAAATTATTCCCTCCCAAACAGTAAGTGTTAAAATCTCCTAATCTTATTTGCAGTTCTGGCTTCCAAGGGGTAATCCCCATATGCAAGGTGGCATGAAAGGATCACCTGCTTGATACTAATCAAGAAGAATCCTGAGGCCAAAAACAAAACACACTCAGCTCGATGCTAATGAGATCGTCCAGCAAATCCCAATCATGAGCATCCTCGAATAGTCTGTAAGGTTCATAGAGAATATAAACGTTCCGGTATGGAATCGAGAGATGGATGTAACAGACACACGGTACTAATATGTTCATAATCTGTATAGTAAGAATCTTGTCCTAAATAAACTATGCAAATCAAGCTCACTAAACTCATCGGTCTTTGGTTTTATTTTCCCTTGTGATGCCAAGAGTTCCCACCAAATTATTGGTCAACACACCAAACGAGCATGCGATGATCTTGCATGAATGAGGTCGTTGGAACAGTTTCTCCTTCCAAATCTCCTACCAGATGTTGAAAGGAAAGCCACACCACCACCCAACATTAAAGAGAGATCACCCAGGACCAACGAATATGTCTGGAACAACTAAAGGAGGCCAATAAAAAATCTAAAGGACAGCTTAAAACTCCAAGCTGCTAGGCCTAGGGGTTTTTTTTTTTCTCATTTTACTGTGTGAGCGTTGTCAAGGACATGGGAGATTTTGGCGTGGTGGCCATACACAGATCTCGTGGAGGTAAATTGGTGCGAGGTCTCTCCCGGGTGGATAATTGCTGGATCTGGATCTGCCCAGCTCCCGTGATTTGAGGCTTGCTTTGCTTGTGGGTTGCGTGTGAGCGGCACGAATTTCTCCTCGAGTGTTTTTTTTTTTGCTTTCGAATCATCGAAATGAGCGAGGAATCAGAGAAGGTTGTGGCAGTGATACTCGTGGGAGGGCCAACTAAAGGTATGAAAGTTTTTTTTGGTTTGGTGGAGTTTCCAAGTGGATTTTTCCGGTGAATTGGTGTGGTTCTATCTCCAGGAACTCGATTCCGGCCATTGTCTCTCAATGTCGCTAAGCCGCTCTTCCCGCTGGCTGGACAGCCCATGGTCCAGCACCCGATTCTCGCTTGCAAAAAGGTTTTTTTCCTTTGAACTTAAGACTTGTTCTTCGTGATATTGGTGCAGCTAAAACTTTTCTCTTCTTTGTTTTCTTTGTTCTTCCGCTTTTCAGATTGAGAATTTGGCACACATTTACTTGATAGGATTCTACGAGGACAGGGAATTTGCCTTGTATACGTCCGCGCTCTCGAACGAACTAAAGGTTCCTGTAAGGTGAATTGTAGAACTCCACTCTTCTTCGTCAAGTTTGTTTTCTTCTTGACAACTTTTTGTGTTCTTGTAGATATCTCAAGGAAGATAAGCCCCACGGCTCTGCCGGTGGCTTGTATCAGTTCCGGGACTTAATTTTGGAAGAAGACCCTGTAAGAGTTTACATGTCTCGTTAACTGGATGACTGTTTTTTTTTCTTCTTGTTTCTCGTTTTCTTTCTTGCAGACAGACATTATAGTACTGAATTGCGATGTATGTTGTAGCTTCCCTCTCACGGACATGCTGGGTAAGAGTAAAGAGTCTGGAGCTTTTCGCTGTCTAAGTTTTTTTCGTTCTGCCAGCTTTCCATCGCAAATGTGGAGGCATGGGAACTATCTTAGTGAAAAAGGTGCGTGATGCTTCCACATCGGAGGAAAAGCTTCCTTACAATCTTGGAGACTTTGTTTTCAGGTGTCACCGGAAGTGGCTAGCGAATTTGGCGAGCTTGTAGCAGACTCAGACAGTGGCGAATTGCTACACTACGCTGAGAAGCCCGAAACCTTCGTAAGCCTCCATGTCTTACTTATTCTTGAAACAAAAGCCTTAGCTTCTCGTCCTTGCAGGTAAGCGACCTCATCAACTGCGGCGTTTACATCTTTAGCCCCGAGATTTTCATCGCGATTCAAGACGTTAAATCGGCACGCCATGATAGAGGTTTGCCTGGAGACTATTTTTCCCACACTGAATGCTTGGTCTTTGTGCAGCTGTTCTTCGTCGACTTACAAGCTTTGAGGCCCTTCAGTCCGCTACCAAGTACGTTCACGGATCGAGAAATACTCTATTAAAAAAGATTTCTGTGTGATGCAGGACATTGTCGGCAGACTTCATTCGCTTGGACCAAGACATTCTGACACCGCTAGCTGGAAAGAAGAAGCTGTACGCTTATGAAACTCAAGATTTCTGGGAACAGATCAAAGTTCCAGGGTGAGTGGATTGTTGTTTGTTTTTGTTATTCGCTTTCTCAACTTGCTTTTTGTTGTCAAACTTTTTTAACTCCAGGATTTCGCTAAGATGCTCGGCTCTGTACCTTGGACAGTATCGAACTACTTCTCCACACTTGCTTGCGAAGAGCGACAGCAAAGGTGCTATTGTTTCCGGCGATGTTTACATCCATCCCTCCGCGAAAACTCATCCCTCTGCGAAGGTAACACGAGTCTTTTCTAGAGAAAACTTGAGGAACTTTGGCTTGTTTTTTTTTTTTTTTTTGTTTTTCCATGTTTGTAGATTGGTCCAAACGTTTCCATTTCTGCGAATGCTCGCATCGGACCAGGTGTGAGGCTTATCGGCTGCATAATCCTTGACGATGTCGAGATAGAGGTAAAACCTTTATGATTTCTACCGTTAAAGAAACATTCTCTTATCTTCTGGTTGTAGGAAAATGCGGTGGTCATGAATGCGATTATTGGATGGAAGTCCTCGCTTGGAAGATGGGCTCGTGTACAGGTAAAAGACCTTTTTAATTATTCTTGTGTAGAGCCTACCGGGAGATATCAGGGTGGCGGAGACTACACTACAAAGTTGGGCATCACAATTTTGGGTGAGAACATGAGCATTTTCTTCTGGTGGACAAGTCTAACGTTTGATTATTCCAGGCGAGGGCGTTTCTGTAGAGGATGAGGTCGTGGTGATCAACTGCATAGTTCTCTCTCACAAGACACTCAACCGAAGTGTCCATGAAGAGATCATTCTTTGAAGCGATTGACTAAAATAACCCCAGATTACGGAAGCTACGCTTTCTTTTTGTTTTCTCTTTTTGTTTCGTTCGTTGGTTCATGGAACATTCCATAGGTTTCGTGTCGTAGAGCTCCACAAGCTATGGCGGCTAAGAGCAAGTGCGCTTTCGATTCATCTCCAGGTAAGCAGCAGAAACTTCAGCTTTCACATAGCTCCTAAAACGTTTCTCCAGGCCTCGGAATCGTGGTTTTTGGCGTCTCTGGATCAGGCAAAACGTAAGAGGATTGGATCTTCGACTTGAAATTTTTTCCAAAATTTTCTGTGCATCGCAGGACGATTGGAAGGCTGATTGCCGAGAAACTTGGTTGTGAGTTCCTCGATGCGGACGACTATCACTCTCGAAACAGTATAGGTGGTGGCTGACTTTCCGCAAATCAATTCATTTCCTCTCACTGATCTTCTGTGTTCCAGAAAAGATGAGAAGCGGGATCCCTCTATCCGACTCCGATCGTCTTCCGTGGCTGGAGAAGCTCAGGGATCTCCTCGCAGCCTACTCGGTGGAGGAAAAACCAGTGGTTTTGGCGTGCTCGGCGTTGAAAACTTCATACCGTGACATCCTCCGCGGAGCCAGTGACGAAAGAGAGAGGAAGAAGAGGAAGAAAAGCCGGGTGGTGTTCGTCTATCTCAGAGTGTCGGACTTGATCACCGCGAGAGTGGAGTCTCGATTCAAAGCCGGTGGTCACTACATGCCACCCTCGCTTCTAAAGTCGCAGCTAGCGCTTTTGGAAGTGGGAGACCAGCAAGAACACGACGTTGTCACGGTGGACACAAGCAGTGAAGCTCGAGTCGTGGCGGGTGATGCGCTAAACAAGCTCAGATCACTGCTCAAGACTCCGTGACGAGCGAAAAAAGAAAAAAAAAGAAGAAAAAAAAAGGACTTTTTGGCTGTGAATCAAGTTGACTTGAGATGGTGTCTTTGAGCTTCTCAAAAACGAAGTTTCGTACTTGTATCAGTGGAAGTGTTGAGTGTCGAGTGAAGCATTTCTTCTTTTCTTTAAAGAGAAGGTCTTGTATCCACGAACACGGGGCTTTGTCCATGAAAGCTGTACACACACATGGAAGAAAGAATTCCTTGTCTGGTTTTGGCCTTAGGTAGGATAATTGATTGATTGTGAGAGAGAGAAAAAATTTTAGGGGGAAGCGAGCGAGAGAGCGAGAGAGGCGGGCGCCATGGCACAGTCTTGGGTGGACGTGGGCGCTGCTGTTTGGAGTTTTGTTCTCTTCGTACCGCTTTTTCTCCTCCTTTTCTTTGTGGGGATTGGCAAAGGTGAGTGGAATTCTTTGCTTTGGGTCTTTCGTTTTCTTGGTGGATCTGAGAAACTCTCGAGCTAGTTTAGCTTTCTTGGCAAGAAAAGAGCAAGAGAAAGTGGAACCAACCTGTTTTTCGCAGGAATTCTAATCGCTCCTTTGGCACTGGCTATCATTTTCGTGGGCAATGTGACAGTTGCTCTCGCTCTCTGGCCAGCATTTGTTTACTGGATTTATGAAAGCATCATCAAGTAAGTCGAGCTCAAGTTTGTAGCTTAAGATCATTCATTGAAAGAACTTTCTTTGTTTGTTTTTCTGTTTTTTCCAGGACCAGAAAGCTGGGATTGTTATTGAAACTCGTAGCAGCTTTGTGTGCTCCATTACCTCTCGTGCTGTGGCCAGCAGCTGTGATTTGCGGCAGCGTTCTCACTGGATTGGGATATGGTTTTTTCACGCCGCTGGTGGCAACTTTCGAGGCCGTCGGCCAGGGAAGAACGAACAAAGCTCACTCCTGCATCCTGGTAAGGTAGAGTGTCAGTTTCATATCCACAAAACTCCTACCTCTTCTGACTTTGTTTTCGTTTTCTATCCATTTTTTTTCCCTGTTTATCTTGACTTTGCTGCTTTTCTAGGATGGAAGCTTTAGCACTGTCAAAGGAAGCTGCACAGTAGTACGCGATTTTACGGACTGGTGTTATCACTCGTGTCCTGCTTATATTGCAGACTTTCGCGATGGAGAGGCGATCGATGGCCCATATAACATCAGGTTGGTTTCCACTCTCGAGGTTTAGAGTGTGTGTGTTTAGTATCAAACTTACAAAATTCTAGCAGGCTGCTCGAGATTCCAACGTGTTTTGTCGCTGCTGTTCTTGGAGTTATCGTGGACGTCCCTCTCTTTGCGATCATCTCGCTCATCAAAAGCCCGTTCATGCTCGTAAAAGGCTGGGAGCGTTTGCTGGACGATCTCATCGTCTCGCAGGAGGGAACTTGCGTCAAAGTTGTGTGTGTTCCATTCGCCGGCCTCGCGATTCTCCTGTGGCCTTTGGTTGTGGTGGCCGCGGTGGTATCCGGGGTTTTTACCAGCATCTTTGTGGGACTCTACGCTGCTGTGATCGTTCACAAGGTTTGCTATTCTTTTGTTTTCTTCCAAGCTTGTCGAGTGGAGTTATACATTTCTTTGTTTTCCAGGAGAATTCATTCAAGTCTGGCTTGGCTTATATAGTGGCTATGGGTGCGGAGTTTGACGAGCAAACAAATGACGTGCTTTATCTTAGAGAAGGATCGTGTCTTCCCAGGTAGTTATTGTTTCTATCAACCATTCTTGCCAAACGATCGATGTTATATCAGGCCGAGCTATAGCTCACGGGTCTCCAAAGCTGAAGATGTACTTCCAGATCCAGAGAAGGGCCACTCCCAGAAGGCAGTGGCCAAGCAGCCAGCTCCGGAACAAAAGCCTTCCGAAGCTGGGATGATCATCCCCCAGCTCTCCGCGTCGAAATCTCTCAAGCAAAGTATACAAGATGTGAAGATGGTCCAGGTAGAAACTCCATACTCATTTTTCTTTTCCAGCTTTTGACACTAGTTTGACAGGTCTGGGAACATATGTTTAAGTCGTGCTGCGAGCACAGCAAAGATTTGATTCACAAGGGAGTCCTCAAGACCTCGGACCTGGAAGAGTACCTGAGTGACAAGTCCAAGAACAAGTTCATAGCCGTGAAGTTGCCGGCGTATTCTTTGCTCATGAACCTCATCTTCTCAGCCAAGTCGAGCTCCACAGGCTTAGTTTTGTGTAAGTTTGGGAGGGAGATCTCTTTCTTCGGTTAGAACTAATGAAAACTTGCCGCAGATAGTGGCTTGGAGCTGACAGTCTTCAATCGTCCCGAGGACCGACTGCTGGATTGGTTCTTCGAGCCGCTGCTGGTACTCAAAGAGCAAATCCGAGCCGCCAAGCTCCATCCCAGCGAGGAGCGATACTTGGAAAAGCTGACGCTCCTGAGCAGCGACGCCGAGTGGGACAATGGAGCCATTGCACCGCAAGACAACGTTCGCAAAGGAGAGCTAGAAGCTCTCAGCAGAAGGTAACTCTAGCTCGCAGAGTTCTCAAGATATCTCTTCCAAAATCTCTTTTTGTACTTGGGACTCACACTCTTTTACGTGTTTTGTTTCCCAGGATTCAAGGAATTTCCACCAGCGTATCCAGATTCCCAACTTTCCGCCGGAGGTACGAGAACTTCATCAAATCTTTGCTTGTCTACTCGCAAGCGAGCAGCCAAACACCAGCTGCGGTATGATCGTCCTTTGATAGTTATAGTTTAGCACGCGATTCTTATGTACAGATGCAGAAAGGAAGATACTTTAAGTTAGTTTTGTGATTGAGAGAAAAAAGAAAACCGAGAAAACTTCTGTAAAAATCTCCTTTTTACTAGAATTTTGTGTGTGATCGGGCGAGATATCAGCGTTAACTTTTCTAAAATCTTCCAAACACTCTTTTCTAGATATAGCGAGAGCCTACATTCCGAGTTTGCAAACAAAGCAAAGTTTTTTCTCAAAGGGTGGTGGTTTTCTCAAAGTTTTTCTCAAAGCTTTCTGGGGGGGGAGAGAGAGAGAGAGCTATGGCGAACTTGCTCCTCGAGGACATCTTCCGGGTCACCGACATCGACCCGGACGGCAAGAAATTCGACAAAGGAAAGTCCCTTCTTCCTCTAATCATTCCCTCGTCGAATCTCTCAAACTTCTCTCCTAGTTGCGAGTGTTCTCCGTTACACAAAAGCGTTTTTTGGAGAACGATCCACAAGAACAAAAACTAATCCTTTGGGTGCTCTTTTTCGGTGGTGCGCAGTGTCGAGGATCGAGGCACACAGCGAGCAATTCGACATGCATTTGCTCCTGGATGTCAACTGCGATGTGTACCCTCTCCACAGGGACGAAAAATTCACCATGGCTTTGGCGCCGACGCTCAGCCTGGATGGCACGCCCGACGAAGGCGTGCTTGATCAGGTATGCAAAAAAAATTCCCTTTTTTTCCCTCGGTGGTCCACAACTTTGATTCAAACAACCCAAGATCACGCAAGAAAAGAGCCAAATCCGCCAAAACCCAGCACTCGATTGATTGATCCACCTAGCGTAGCTTTCAATTCCATTCCATCCATTCCCAGCTTTTCACCTTTTCCTTCTTTTATATCTCTTTCTTCGCTTTGCTTTAGAGTGGCAAGAGGTCGCTCGCGGATCGCTACGACTACGTCATGTACGGTAAGCTCTACAAGTATAGCGACGACCATAGCACGGGCGCTCTCAAAGTGTACGTATTTCCAGCGTACTTTTCCTTCTTCTGTTTAAACCTCTCTCAAATCTTCGCTCGATCAGAGACATTTATGTGTCGTTTGGGGGATTGCTGATGAAACTCAAGGGAGATCCACAGCATCTTAACGAGCTGCAAATGGATCAGCGCCTCTACGTGCTACTCAGGAAGGTCAAATGAATTCTCTCTGGCTCTTTGTTAAACTCTCCAGGAAGAATCGAGCAAACTTAATCCATAAAAGTTGGAAGATAAGATCAAACTAGGCTGAAGAACTTAGCAACGATCTATCTTCCAAAACTAGACTGAAGAACATAGCAAAGATCTCCAGCTCTCCAGGAAAGTTGGAAGATAAGATCCAAAACTAGACTGAAGAACACGGCAAGGATCTATCTCCATCCAAGCAAGCTAGATTCCATTCCAGTGACAAGGAAGAAACAAAAAAATCCACACTTTGGAAACGTCTGGGCATTTCTTTCTTACTGTATGATAAAGTTTGTGTGTCACAGACGCGAAAGGAGGAGTGCAGCCAGGCTCCGTATCACAAAAAGGAAAACACCAACAAAATCGCTGCGGCTTTTTTTTTTTTTTCTTTTTTTTTTCTTGATCTTGATCACGAGCTATGTATGTAATCCGCCAAAGCAAGGAGAAGTGAAAGCGAGAAAAAAAGGAAGGAATTTGCGACGAGTAAGTGTGTGTGTGTGTGTGTGTGTAGTATCTTCACCTATGAAGTGTTTGTGAGTTCGTGGATTTGCGAGCTCGAGAGTGGATCTCAAGCTCCACCACTGGCAACGAGCGCGGCGGTGTCCATATCATCGAAGCTCTTGGAGAGCTCGTTGAGCTTCTTCATCCTCACGGCCTCGCTCTCGGTCACAACCTGGAAGAACGAGCTCGGGCTTGTAAAAGTTGTGAGAAGAGACAACCAAGAACTTTACCTCCATCAATTTGCTCACGAGCGAGGCCTTGAGCTTCACCTTGTCGTCGAGGGCCTTGGAGGCATCTTTAAACTCCTTTTCCTGCACACATTGTAGCATGGATCCTCGGCAAACCAAGCGCACACAAGGAGCAAGAAAAGGAAGGGAGGAAACGAGTACCTTCTTGTCAAACTGCTGCTTGAGCGGCTTGAGCTCCCGGTCCACCGCCTCAATCTTCTTGCGGATCTCCCCGACTTCCTTCCTCGTCGGATCCTCGAGATTTTCCAACTCCTGGAAGAAAAGAGTCCCAAAGAACTTTAGAACTTTTCCAACTCCTAGAAGAGTAGAAGAGTATGGAAACTTGAGAACTTTAGAACGAACGAAGAGAAGCAAAGGATTTCCAGCTTTCTAGAAGAGAAGAAGAGTATGAAAAAATTTAGAACTTTTCCAACTCCAAGAACAGTAGAAGAGTATGAAAACTTGAGGACTTTAGAACGAACGAAGAGGAGGAAGAGAGGATTTCCAGCTTTCTAGAAGAGTATGAAAAACTTTAGAACTTTTCCAACTCCAAGAAGAGTAGAAGAGTGACGAAGAGAAGGAAGGGAGGATTTCCAGCTTTCTTACCCGGCGGAGGTTGTCCAAGCTGCGAGCTTCCAGCTCCACTTTGCTAAGCTTTGCCTGGACCCTCTGGTGGACCTCGGCCTTGCGCTTCTCGATCTCCTCCTCCTTGGCCTGGATGCTGTCCACCGCCTTAACCATCTCGTCGTTTTGGTCGGGATCGCTGGCGGCGTCGGTGGTTCCTGGCGGTGGCGGTGGCGGCGCCGCTGGCTCCTGGCGCTGCTGCGCCCACACTAGCTTCTGCATGTCCGCCGTGAGCCGCCGCTTGTCGCTGTCCGAGGAGGCCTTGTGGAGCGTCTCTTTGAGGCTTTTGCCCAGCGATTCCAATGCAGATCCACCCATTTTAGTCAGTCCGCGAGAATTTCTTGCAAAACGAAGCACACACAGGGAGAAAGAGGAGAGATTTCCGCTCTAGCAAGCCCCGCGCTGGGATATTTCGAGAGGAGAAAGAAAAAGGAGAGGAAGAAATCCAAGGAAAAGGAAATGCCGCTAGCTGGAAGCGCTCACAAATCCACACTACCACTCACTGCGGTTTGTTAGAGAAGTAGCTCCACTTCTGCGACTGCGCCGCCGCCATGTCTGGCAAGAATTCGAGCAAGAAAGCCGAGATCAAGAACAAGAACAGCGCGATCCGGAAGAAAGAATGCCTCACCTGATTCGTGATCTTCCTCTCTAGCGGCGGGTGCGGCTCCACAACACCAGCGCGAAGACGAAGACGAGGAAGAGGAAGATCGTTCTTGCATTTGGCCGCCACAAAACGCTCGCGCTCTCTCCCTCCCAAAATGAAATATAGCCACACCAAGAAAAAAAACACAAGGCGTGGATCAAAGCTTTACAGAGGAGCGAAAAAGAAAAGAGTGTCCGACCTGCCGGAATCGAACCAGCGACCTAAGGATGTCTGTGAGCACTACAGTCCTCCGCTCTACCAACTGAGCTAAGGTCGGAACCATGCTAATCAATCAAAACCAAACCATAGAAACCAAATTTTCTCCACTGTGATAGTAAACAATGGCCCCTATACATTATACATTATAAGAGCTTGTATCGCTTCTCTTGTACACCTGCGACTCCCATCTGGATCTCAATGATAGTGTGAAGAGGCATCTGGCACACAAAGGAAGCAGAAGCTTAAAGAAGGAACTTGGCCAGATCATATTGACTAGATAAATTCCACTCACTCACCTCAATGTGTGGAATTTCGTCTAGTGGCTTGTCAGTGAAATAGGCATACAGCGAGCGAAGTATTGCCTGTGAGTGAGGATGTCTTAAGCAAAAGGAAGAGAGAAAAAACCATGATGGCAGTCTCGAATCTTTTGGATCTAAAGCTTACTTGATGCGCTACCACCACAACTGGGGATCGTTGTCGCTCCAGCTCCACAATAACTGGCTCCAACCTGAAAGAGCTTCCTTTACTTTCTCTAACAGCCAAAATGTAACGCACTAGGCCTACGTGGTTGCAAAGACGTTTTTTCCTTTTCCCTGTGCTATTTTTTTTTTTCCCTTACCTCTGGATAACGTCGAGGTACGATTCTCCCCGCGGGTAACGGTATCGAAGCTTGTCTAGCTTCCTTGACCTGCGAAAGTAGTAGCTATCAAGCATCAAAACTTTAAATTGCGAAAGTGGAGCGCTCACTTACTGGTATTCGTCCGGCATTGTCTCTTTTATTTCCTCGTATGTCATGCCATCACATATTCCCGCGTCAATCTCGTCGAGAGCTCTCCACTGGACCTGTTAATGCAGCCTCGTTATAAATGTTTCTATACAAGGCCGGACAATCAAACTTTCGAGAAAAGATTTACCTTTGGAAATCCGGTGATGTGTGTGGCAGTGAGAATGGTTCTTCGTAGGGTACTCGTCCATATCTGAGCATTGCAGAACAAAAAAAAATTAAATAATGAAGGAGAGGAACAAGGCTCACCGATGCCGAGTGCTGCGATTTGAGACGCTTATGAACGAAACTCGCGAGCTTGGTTGCATATATGTCTCCTGTAGCACTGAAGAGCACACAGTTCACAAGAGCAACAGAAGAAAGCATGAACTTACCTCAGCTCTGGGTCACCCCCAATGCGACCATTGAGATTGAACATGCTCTCGCCATGGCGTGTCAGTAAAATCGGACGAGGAGTGAGATGAGTGTTTACCTGTTGTTATCCAGACAGTTATGCACTCTATCTTGCAAAACTATGAAAAGTCCCACCAGAAAAAATACTATTCGGCCAGGAAGATATCCACTGATGTTGTTTACCTGGCCAGAGAAACAAGCAAGCACTGCTCGGAACATTCTAAATGAGATTTAGAACCTGCATCTGTCCGTCTTGTTCGCTAACCATGTCAATCATCTTAATGTATGACCCCTCATCAACCGGTTCATAAGCCTGCAATAACTCTCGGAAATCTTACACCGCTCCATCATTTAGACACGTACCTTGGAGTAATGTACGAGACGAGCTTTAAAATCTGCTAGAGCTGCTTCATAGTCAGGTCTGAACAACATAAAGATCACCAGCTCAGTTGTGGAGAGAGTTGGACGTTGAAGGGAAAACAAGGCTTACTTACTGATCAGCGTAATCCGGGCTCTTGCGAATTTTGAGGCGAATATTTTGATCAATCACTGCTGGATCTTTGCAAATCGTTTCCAAAAAAATGACCTGTTTCAATGTGTACTGTTTGGTGTCAATGTATAAATATGAATATAAACCTGGCATTTTCCCTCAGCCATGGTCAGAAGCATTTTTCTCCGCAACTTTGTGCTGTTGGTGGCATCGAAAACGCCAACCTAGTACAAACACAGGCTAAGAGTTTTTATGGAATTTGTAGTAACGCACCTGGCCGCCTTCATCCATCCAGGAAAGCATGTCATCCATGGCCAAAGCTGCGACCTGTAAGGCAAGGTTGAAGGCTGTTGCTATCATAAGCAACACTAAAATAGAAAAATTTGTGCAGTCACCTCATTTCGCGCATCAATCCCTTCTTGATTGTCTGAGCGAAAAAAATCCGCATTCTAGTTATCGCACTCAATTCAGAAGGTCTCATAGAAACTAGTAGCAAATCCAACTACCTGAGTGCAACCGTGTTTAAGGCGACGGTACTGCACGATGAAATAGTGGAAGCTCATTTGGCACGAAAAGCTATCATCAGAGATGAAGACGGTACCTTTCCAACGTTGAAGTGCTTGGTATCATGTCCCAGCCAACGTAAGTATCTCGTCAACTTCGCGGCAGTAAACGTTTTCCCTCTCGCAGGCAAGCCAACCTGGAAAGGCACGAATCCCAGAATTTAACAGAGTGGTAGAAGACGATTTCGCTCTAGCGTACCAGAACAATTGCAAGACGACGACGTTCTTTGGGTCCAAGCAATCGATCGGCAACCGCACCAGCTGCTCCAGCTCCTGCTGCCGATGGCATGACCTGTACAGTTCATGTCAACCGCGGGAGAAGGAAAAATTCGGAGAACTAAGTACCTTGCTCTCAAGGTCATCGATGCTTCCATTCAACACGCTCACATCACTGCCCAAGCGAACAAGTCCGGGAGAGCTGCTTACGGAGCGGTCTAGCTGTTGTTCTTGGGGGCTTAAAGCGATAGGACTTCCAGGCCTAGAATCTGGTCTGTTCTCATTCTTGTCACTTGTTTCAGGTGGCACGCAAGCATTTTCTCTCTCGGACCCCAAAACCACAAAATCCTGAGCATAAAACGTTGGAAGCATTATAGAAAATGAGAGCTTGTAGTTACCTTGATAGACACACATCGATCCTTTAGATTCTGTTGGAAAAGTTTTACTGGCACAGATGCAGAAAGTTCGATCTCGCGATCGCGAGGAACTTCAGCGGCATCTGCCGCGTACTGCGTCTCAGAGTTCGGGGATGGAACTTCATAACCATCCACGTCCGACTCCTGTGAAAACAAAACTTTGAGCTCTTCTATTCTAAAAGAACAAACCTCTGGTGCAAATCCACGCGACTGACTGTGTCTCCAGTTCTTCCCGAGTGCAAAAGGAGAAACTTGATCCAAAGTTATCGAGATATGGATTTGTATGGGAGAGCCTGGACTGTAAAAGCCGGAACACAACCTTGTGTTTTCCAAGAGCTGATGAGAACCATCAACGCGTAGAACACTTTCCTCGTTCTTCACAAAGAACATCACCTCCGGAGCCTCTACAAGAAGAAAAATAGCCATCAAACAAGATTGAAACAAAGAAAATGCTACCATGGATATCAAACGATGGCAGGACGCAACTCAACTCCCAGTTCCGGGCAGACAGCCGCTCCAGTGGGACCTAAATTCAAATCCATCAATCGATCAATCAAAGAATCATCCAGAAACATACAGCTCGAGCTTGATCCCAGCAACCAAAAACAGGCAGCGATCCATAAGCAAAAGGCTGGAATCCATCGCCGAGCTCTCCCACAGGCTCGAAAGAAATGGTCGCCACCGCGTAGAGAAGGGACGGGTCCCTCATTCCCGCCAACCCTAGTCACATTGAAAATGCTCCTCAAATCTATTCGTTGGAATAGTGAAGGAGGTCTTGCGATCGATTCGCGGGAGAGGAACCTGTGAGTAAGGAGGTTTTGTGATCGATTCAAATTTCCAAAATCTTGCTAGCTGTGGGGTTCGAACCCACGCGCACTACGTGCAGGTGATCTTAAGTCACCCCCCTTGGACCTCTCGGGCAAGCTAGCTCGTGTTCCATGTGTAGCGTTTTCTCTCTCCTCTAAGCTGATGGCGGTCTAATGGCGCGGGGATAATATTCTAGGGTTTTAGCGATGGCGATGGCGGTGTTGCCAATCCAAGCCCGGCCTGCCGCTGCGATCGCGAGGAGCACGCCATTGCCGTCAGCGGCGCGATGCAATGCGCCAGCGAGCGCATTTGTTCCAGGTAAATTCGATCGAAAACGATTGGATGAAACGAAGGATTCGAATTGGATTGTCATGGCGCAGGAGCTTCGTTGACGTCTCGTGAGGTTTTCGGCGATGGCGTGCTGCGGCTGAGAGCGCGGGGCGTCAATTCGATGCTAGCAACGAGACGGACTGCCAGAGTGATGGCGCTGTTTGGGCTGGGCGTGCCCGAGCTCGTCGTGATCGCCGGAGTGGCGGCGCTGGTTTTTGGGCCCAAGAAGCTCCCAGAGATTGGGAAGAGCCTCGGCAAGACTGTCAAGAGCTTCCAACAAGTAAAAAAGAGATCTTTTCGTGAATCTCGCGGCCTCATTTGGTTTTGTTGTCATGGGCAGGCAGCGGACGAATTCCAGACCGAGCTCACAGCGAAGAAATCCGCCGAGGAAGAAGAAAAAGTTCCCGGATCCTCGGAAGAAACCGAAGCAGTGAAGAAGACAACGGCCAAGGAGAATGTCGAGGTGTGAGAGCGAAATCTAGATCGAAAAAACGCGGACATCAGTCTATGGGTGGTGATATAAATCGTTGTCGTCAGGAAAAGCGCGAGAGCTTTTCACTCAGACGAACGAGACCTTACATGGATTCATCATCTGTCCGTGAGAAAAAAAATCGAATTCCACAAAGGAGATTTTAGGGTCTCAGAAATAGAGGATGGGCGATTCACAGAGATGCGAGGAGATGAATGGGTTCCCTTGCGCGAGGCAAGGCATCGTCTCTACTCGCAACTCGCCACAAGAGAGATCATCACAGACCACGAAGAACCCTAATCCCCGATGGTCCATATAAACGATGGCTCCCGCGAATCGGGACCGTTGGAGCTAGCGGCTGCAATCTGGGAAACGCGTAACCTAATTTGGACCGCGAGGGTTGTGCCACGTGGCTGCCAGAAAAATCTCTCCGGCGATGGAGGGCATAGTTCATTCTGGAATGGAAATAGAAGCATTGCCGGTAACGCCCTTCAAAGTCCTTCACATTTGTCGTGGCGCGTTTGTGAGTGTTGGATGCCCGCAGATCAACGGCGCGTGACGGGCGGGCAATTCATGCAAGCAGAGACTTAGAGGGGATTGGAATTCTTTCCTTCATTCATTTTCCATCTGTATTGGTTGGGCGGCGGCGGCGCCATAGCCATTCCGACCCTAGGGTAGCGCTCCAGCACGGGAATGGCGCTTTGCCCGGAGTAGTCGCCGGCGGCATGGCGCTGCGGCGCCATAGCTAGGGCTTGAGGTAGGGTATGGCGCTTGAGGAGACTGTCGAAATCTTGTCTCGCTTTCGCCGCCCTGGAGCCGTCTGTGGAAGCGCTTCGGTCGTCGGTGGCCAAGTCGCCACTGGCGATTGATGAGGCTGCTTGGAGGAGTAGCGCCGCCAGTCCGAGCAACGCAGGTACCAGTAGGGGTAGTGGGAGCCGAATGGGTAGCACTGAGGAGTCGGAGCGCAAGCGAAGGCATTCCAACAATCACACGTCTCTCTCGCCACCGCCAAAGAAGCAGCAGCCCATGGCTCCAGTTTTAGAGGAGAGAAAGGTTTGGTCTTCTTATTGTTGGTCTTTCTTCTTTTCTAATGCTTCTTTGTGCATGTATAGGCGGACCCGGGAATGCTTCAGTACCAAAACCAGCAACTCGCTCAGAAGCTTGACGCTCAAAGAAGTGAGATACACGCTCTGGAGGATAAGTTCAACCAGCTTAAATCAAAGCAAACTTCTTTTGATGAGACGCTTATTTCGGTGAATAGGTGCTGGAAGGAGGTAAGCAGTCCCTTTTATCTTTCATTGTTGTTTGTTTGGTTTCTATGTCTGACTCGTTCTTTTCTATAGCTAGTGGATGACTTGGAGCTACTAGCCGTAAATGCTCATCCTGATGGTACTACCGAGGTACCGGTGCTGGAGGTAGCGCCGCCAGTGTCAAGTGGTAAGAAATATTCCAGTTACATGGATAGGCTGACAAATGCCGTTCAGTTGCAGATAAGCCGGATACATCGTCCGTAATTCCGGAGGAAACTTTTTTACAGCGCTTAGTTCGCTCCTCAGCATCTACGGAAGGTGACACCCTCGATGCGGCTTTAAACAGCAGAAGGGCCTCCACTGTGAAAACGATGAGCTACATAGTGCAGGTTATTCAATCCCAACGCGCTAAGCATGACGAGCTCACCTCCATGTTAAAGAATCAACTATCTTCTGATGGTATGTATCTCAAGTGGTGTTTGTCCAGTTTTTTATGCTTTCATTGTTCAGTTGCTGGAAAGGCCCTTCAAAAGGCTCATGATGATTTGCTGGTTGAAACTCAAAGTTTGAGAACAGCGATGGAAGCACTCCATCTCAAGCATAAAGAAATTAGCTCTGCAATGACGGCTATGGAGGATTCCCGCTTGAAGGATCGAGCTGAAATAGGAAGATTAACTGGTAAGCTAGTTTTTATATGTTTTAGTGCTACGCTGAGGGTCGGCATCTTTCAGGTGAGCTCGAAGATACGCTAGCAGAACTGGACACGAGTAGGCGAAAGCTCGCTGCTGCTTTAAGGAATCAGAAAGATTTGCCACCAGGGCCGCCAACACCTGGTGCCGTGACAAAAGAACCAGGAGAAAAGGGTGGAGTGTATAAGACGTCGAAAGATATTAGAGATCTTGAAGAACTTTTAGAAAGAACTAAGGTATGTCCAACGTGTTGGTTCTCAGTTTCTTACTGCTTTGATTTCAGGCTTTATCGGAGTGCCGGCTCGTTGATCTTCAAGAGGCACATCAAAAGAATCTCAATCTGGCAGAGCAACTACGCCGATTACAGGTTTCCGCATTACTTTGTTATGCTATATTCAGTGGCACTGAATTCACACCCACAGGATTCTCATATTGACGAGCAACGGGTTATATCGTCGAGGCCCTACCTCCTACTGCAAGATCAGTTGAAGTTCTTCAAGGCGGAACTCGACCGATGCCAAGCAAATGCGGAACGGTTTCAGGTGAGAACTCGTTTTTCTAGCTACATAAGAAGTCATTCCGACTGGCATCCATTTTCCAGTGTGTTGAAGTGCCAGAACTCTGCTGTAGGCTGAGCGTGATAGTGCATTACGACACGAGAAAGAAGTGAGCCTGAAAGCTGAAGCTGGAGAAGCTGCCCGGAGGGACGTAGCTGTTGCGGAATCGAGGATCACAGCTTTGGAGGCGAAGTTACAACAATGTATGGCCGATAGAGATGATTTACAGCTAAGAGTCGAAGAATTAAATCAGCTTTCTGGTATGAGTTTTGGGACCTTCCTGTGATCGCTTATTCTTTTTTATAACCTCAGGAAGAAAGGACACTGTTGCGGAGCTCAAGCTAATGATAAGTACACTTCACAAGGAGATGGGGATGATGCAACTGCAGCTTAACAAATACAAAGATGCTGCCCATGAAGTGTGCAGTCTTCGAGCAGACTCCCATTCTATGGCAGCGGTTCTTGAAAGAAAGGTACTATTCTCTATGATTACAAGAATCCTTTATATATAAACGTTTTGACAGAAATTCGAGTTTAAAAATCTTTCGAAGAAGCTAGCAGATCAGGCTATTGAGGCAGACGTGTTCAAAGAAGAGGTCAGTTCTGCTATCTTTCGTCAGATTCTTAAGGTATTGGTCGATTACAGATTCGCGTTCTCAAAGAAAGCGAGCAGGAGTTGAAGCTTATACTAGATATGTATGAAAAGGAGTCAATAGAAAGCAGGTGTGCTGTTGCCCTTCAACTCTCTTTCTTCAAAAGCTTGTTAATCTGGTGCTTTCTCTGCAGGGATATTCTAGAAATACAGCAATCAGAATGTAGAGCTCGAGCCCAAATACAACGTTTACAGGAGGCCTTGGATGAACACAGCCTTGAACTTCGCGTAAAGACAGCGAATGAGGCGGAGGCCGCCTGCCAGCAAAGACTTGCGGCAGCTGAAGCAGAAATTGCTGAACTTCGTGAACGCTTGGATGTTTCTGACAGGTTCATTGTGGCACTTTTTAACTTTTAGACATTCTTACACTGTTTTTCAGAGATAAGATGGAGCTGCTAGAAACTATTAAGGCAAAAAGTGAAGAAGGAGATGCTTACATATCTGAAATCGAGGTAAGATTTTTAGTTTTCTTACATTTATGTCTGTAGTTTTCTTTTTAAACAGACTATCGGGCAAGCATATGAAGACATGCAAACTCAAAACCAAAGGCTTTTGCAGCAGATATCCGAAAGGGATGATTACAATACAAAGGTTTGTTAGATTCACGTTAGCTAGAAATGAGACTAATTTTCCGCTTACAGCTTGTGGCGGAAAGCTTGAAAGCGAAACAGTTGCAGACCTCTCTTGTTGCTGAGAAACAGTCGATATCTGGGAAGATGCAGCTTGCAACGTCTGCAGCCGACTTGCAAAAGCAAAGGGCTGCTCGTTTCGAAGAGCAGGTTTTTCTCAATTGTTATCGTCATTTTCGTTACATTAACATTCTATTTCTTGTGTAGGTTCGTCTACAACTGGACCAGCTTACCAAGGCAGCTGATGAGACTCGGCACAGTAATTCGGCTGTGGAGGTCGCTCGGCGCAAATTGGCGGAGGCAGAGAGGGAGGTCCAATCGTTAAGATCCGCTTTGGAAGTTTCTGACAAAGAGCTCCGAGAACGTGGAGAAAAGACGAACGATGTCCTGGTAGTACTGGAGAACGAAAGGTACCCTGTCTATATTTACTGGCTTTTGTATTGAATTCGCTTGCTGCAGGTTTGAGAAGAAGCGACTTGAGAATGAACTGACCGTACTGAAAACCAAGCATACCACAGCTCAAGAGAACGCACTGGTGGAGAAGCTGCAGGAAGAAGTAAACAAATACAGGACGCTACTAAAGTGTAGCGTTTGCCACGACCGACAGAAAGAGGTACGTGTACATTCACCTTCATCGATTGTTTGTGTTGCTCAAGGGCCTCTTTTCCGTGTTTCAGGTGGCGATTACGAAGTGCCTCCATCTATTCTGCAACCCGTGTATTCAGAGGAATCTGGAAATAAGGCATAGGAAATGCCCGGGTTGCGGAGTAGGATTTGGCGCGGGTGACGTTCGGCACGTCTACCTATAAAAGCATCGATTCCTTCGTGTAGATCTATCTAGCTATGCTACTGCTTTGGTGCTCGAGGTAACTTCCTTTGTTGCTGGAGGAGATTTTGGGTTGTTACTGACTTGAATATAAGTTTCTGTGAATAGTTTTTCTTTACCAGACAAGGCTGGCTCTTGTAGAGGTTTCGACGCTTGAATTTAACTTAGATGTCACTAACTGTGGCTGTCTTTTCAATGTAGTTTGTCGCGAGCGCCGCGTGCATGGCCGCTCCAATCGGTAGAACATCCTCGTCCAAGTCGAAGTATGGGGAGTGTGGCCGGTTGTCGAATCCTTTGGCGTCGTTTCCACTTCCCAGGAAGAAGAACATGGTTGGGACGTGATCCGAGTAGAAAGCAAAGTCCTCGGCTCCCATGGTAGGCTCCATCTCGGTCACTTTGTCTTCTCCCAGGAGATCCTTCGCGACTCCCTGGAAGAAGTGGTAGAGCTCCGGATCGTTGGAGGTGGCGGGTTGCAAGTTACTGATATCTATGCTGGCCGAGCACTGATGCACGGAAGCTTGGCTGGTGATCACCTGCGAAGCCGAGAAGATCGATGGAAGATCAAGCAAAGTTGAGAAGATCGAGATGGAAGATCAAGCAAACTTGGGACGAGAAGATCTAGATGGAAGATCAAGCAAAGTTGCGAGAAGATGGAGATGGAAGATCAAGCAAACTTGGGACGAGAAGATCTGCTGCGGAGAAGATCGAGATGGAAGATCAAGCAAAGCTGGGACGAGAAACCAACCTGTTCGATTCTGGTTTTCAGTCGCCTGAGGCCTTCTTTCTTGTAGCCCCGGAAAGTCCCTTTGAGCGTCACCGTGGAAGGAATGACGTTGAAAGAGTCGGGGGTCTGGATGGACGTCACGGACACGACCTGTGCAGCACGCGGTACCGCGCGGTACAGTCATACCATTGAAATGTGAAGAGTTTACCTCGCTCTCGAGAGGATTGGATTCGCGGGAGACGAGCTGCTGAAGACTAGCCACCACCATCGATGCTGCGAGAATGGGATCTATCGTCTTGTGCGGCAAGGCGGCGTGGCCTCCACGTCCGGTGATGGTAGCGGTGAAAAACCCGGCGCCCGCGAGGAGGGGTCCCGTGCGGCTGCTGGCGGTACCCACCGGCCTCTCGGAGGTGACGTGGATGCCAAAGATGGCCTGGGCGTCACCCAGCGCGCCACCCTCAACCATGGCCAGGGCGCCGTAGAGGCCCTCCTCGGCGGGCTGAAAGAGCAGCCGGACTGTACCGCGCGGTACCGCGGCGGGGCGGGAGAGGAGTCGCGCGGCACCCAGCAGCATCGCCACGTGGGCGTCGTGGCCACAGGCGTGCATTTTACCGGCCACCTGGCTCTTGTACTCGGGATTGCCCAGCTCCTTCGCAAAGAGAGATTTTTACCGTGAGTTTTACCAAGGCGGGAGAAGTAAGATTTGCTTTATTACCTGGAGAGGGAGGGCGTCCATGTCGGCTCGCAGGGCCACGATGGGCGGCCCACCCGTACCGATGGTGGCCACCACACCCGTGCCCGCCACCGGCCACTCGTACGGCACGCCCAGCGCGTCTAGCTCCGCCCGGATGAGCGCGCTCGTCTCAAACTCTTGGAAGCCCAGCTCTGGGCGCTGGTGGATGCGCCGCCGGATTCCAACCAGCCATTCTCGAATGTCCTCGCCATCGCCGATGCTAGAGAGCGTGGAGTTTGCGATCGCGGCATCGCCAGCAGAGGAGGAGGGGCATTCTTGGTGCGCGCGGATGGATCGCAGTGGGACTAGCAGCAAAAGGGAGAGTAGCGAGTGAAACCACATAGTCGGCCCGCCGCCGACTATGAGAATAGAAATTTATAGGGCAAAACGATAGAGAAGAGATGCTCGAGCTAAGAATTGCCGGCTAAACAGTTGGTGCTCCTCACCCTCAGCGACTAAGTCAATCCTTTATGTGTTTCGGCATTTGTTTGACGAAGCAAGTGACGACATCCACCTTTTTTTTTTTTTTTTTTTGTTTTTATTTTGGCGGCGGAGGCGCTCAAGAAGAAGCAAACTCTCACTCTCACTCCACCACTATCACCACCAACAGTAGCAGCAACAGCCTCAAGTTCTCGCTCAGAGATCCCTCTCGCTCAAGTCTTTTGACAGGCGGAGATTTTCAGCTGCTATATGCATTGGAGAGTGTTACGTAGAGCGCGGGGCTGCTGGAGCTCATCCTTTGCGCAACCCGCCTTCCAAGGCTCACGTCCCAGTGGATCCGGCAAGCTCCCAGCAGTGACGCGCACCCGGCGGCGTCCAATCCCAGCGGCAGGCTGGCGGCGAGCTCCTCGGCGCAGCCCAAGAGCCCCGATCCGGCCAGGGCGTCGATGACCGCTCCATAGTGCTCCGCCGACGCTTCCATGCCGTGCTCCGCCACCATGAGCCCCAGGTACGAGTAAGCCTCCCGCAAGAGCCCCCGTTGCTTGCAAGCGTTGAGGATGCCCAGGAATGCGATGCTGTCCAGCGCGAAGCCTTGGAGCTGCATCAGCTGGGTGGTTTTGGTGGCTTCGTTACAGCGCCCGGATCGAGCGTAGGCTGTGATCATGGAGCTCCAGGACACGGGATCGCGGTCGGGGATCATTGCAAATACCTTTGCTGAGTTTTCGAGGCTCCCGTTATCGGCGTAGGCTGCGAGCAGCGAGTTCCAGGATCCCACATTACGGTAGGCTATGGCGTCGAACATCTGTATGGCTGCCTCGAGGTGGCGGCTTTTGGAGTAAGCGGTCAAGAGTGCATTGCAGGAAACCGTGCTCCACTCGGCCATGTATTCGAAGAACACCTGCGTGGCTGCCTCGAGATGGAACTGTTGGCCGTAGGCCGAGATCAAGGCCGAGCAGGCCACCGTGTTCCATTCAGGCATCCTGTCAAACAGGCACTTAGCATCTTCCAGATGCCCACGCTGGGCATACGCGGTTACCATGGCGCTCCAGCACACGATGTTCTTCGCGGGAGAGGAATCAAATACTTTTTGCGCTCCTTGCAAGTCCCCAGCCTCGCCAAAGGCTTTCATCATTGCCGTGAATGAAACCACGTCCATCTCTGGCATGGATTTAAAGCATGTTTGAGCCTCAGCACAATGCCCCGCTACGGCATTTCCAGATATCATTGTGTTCCACGTTGAAACATCTCGGTAAGGCATGCAGAGAAACAAATCGCGAGCCTCTTCCATCTTTTTGAACAATGTGTACGCTTGCAAAAGAGTATTCCAGCTGACCACGCTACGTACGGGCATCATGTTAAACAAGGCAATTGAAACTTCAAAATGACCTTCTTGGGCATTTGCAGAAAGGACAGTAGTCCAAGAAACGACGTCCCTCTCCGGCATCTTTTGAAACACCGCCATAGCTTCACGAAGGTTACCGAGCTGGAAATGCCCACGCAGCATTGTGTTCCAGGACACAATGTCCTTGTCCGTCGCAGGCATCCTGTCAAACACCTCTCTTGCTTCCCGCAAGCTCCCATTGTCAATACACGCCGCGATGAAAAGGTTCCACGAGAAAACATTGGGATGCTTGATGGCCTCAAAAGCCTCGCGCGCAAGCTCCAGGTTTCCAAGCTTCCCATACCTGTGAATCAGCAAGTTGGAGCGATATCTCGCCCTCGAATTGTCGAGGTCGGAGCCAGAGCAGCAGGGTGATTCAGTTCTTAGAGCTAGAGCAACCATCGCGTCATCACAAACTCTCAGCCAACCTCCTCCTCCTCTTCGAGAAGATCATACTTTTCCTGGGCGATCCATCTTTCATCACATACATGTTCGCAAGGACATAGGCGGCTGAATCTTCGTTTTGGCCACCCAAGAGAGCCTTAGCTGCGTGAGCACCATGTTCCAAATTGCTGTAGCTCGTCGATGCACCCGGCAAACATCGCCAGTCCATCACCTCCGCCTCGAATGGCATGCTTGCGATACGCTCCTTCGCCTCTCTCAGATGCCCGGCCGATCATACATCGGTACTGGAGCTTGTTTGCAACGATCCCATAATCGATCACCATCTCCGCGAAGCAACGAAAGCCACCCCAAACTTTTCCAGTGCGTCCACACACGAGAAGAACCAAGGTGAAGCAACGATCGCCCGGTCTCTCCTCTTCAACCTTGATCGCACCATAGCGCTTTATGCGCATAGGCGGAAATTATTGCGTTCCAGGCAATCGGATCTTTATCTGGCCTTTAATAAAAAAATTCTGTATCAAACAGAAACTTCGTATGTTCCAGATGCCCGATTTGGGCATTTGCTGAGAGGATTGAGTTCCATGAAAAAAACATCGCGTTCCGGCATCCAGTCAAAGATATGCCAAGCCTCATCAAGATTCCCGTTACAGGCATAGGTGCTCAGCATCGCTCGCGTGGTGGATCATGCTGCGATGACCGTACTCGCAGAGCGGGCATGGCGGAGAAGAGCGCCACGGCCTCGTCCCAGTGGCCATTGTGGGCGTAGGCCCCGAGCACCGCGTTCCAGGACACGTGATCGAGCTGCGGCATGCAATCAAACAAGCGCTTGGATTCCTCAGTTGTCGTGGACCGCCATCTTTGCAGCATATGCCAACCTCAGGCAATTTGCAGAAGCAAAAACGATATGCCGCAGAGGAACATTGTTTCGCGGACTGCCATGCTAGCTGCGTACTGTCAATGCGGGAAATTTTCCGAAGCATAAAATTGTTTTGATCGCATGCTGGAGCACGATCTCTTAGTGTGGAACACAGTGGTTACAGCACTTGCCGCTAAGAGGCATCTTGTAAATGCCAAAGAGATCTTCTATGCCGTGCCTGATCGCAACCTGGTCTCCTGGAATGCAGTCTTGACGGCGAGCATGCAGCACGGAGAGCTATGAGAGTCCAACTCTTTGTTCGACCTGATGCCCCAGCACAATCGTGTCTTCTAGACCGCATTGTTCGCCATATTTGCCCGTGCTGGGCATCAGAAAGTGCTAGTGATCTTCCACTTGATGCTGGCAAGGGACAGGATTGCATGGAACATGATCAGTAGTACTGTGAGGCGATGTTGTCAGTGTAAGTTCTCCATTGCCAGTTCCCAGATGCGGCATTGTAGGCAATGACAATCTTGCCATTGCTGGTGGTGATGTGGAAAGAGAGTGCCTTGATGAGCACCAAATTGAAGTGTGGCCATTGATCATGAAGCAAATCCAAAAATCACTTTTCCAAGTGATCAAGGAAGAGCGTTTTGCTTACCTTTGGTATTGGATTTGTAATACTTATGATCTCTTTATAAATAAGTTAAGTTAGTTGTTCTCTATCAATTGTTTTATGACATTGGCAAGAAAATGTGCCATTTTAAATTAATCGACCACAATAAAAAAACATTATCAAATCCTCAAAAAGATTTTGAAAAATGAGTCGGCCATAACAAGAATAACCACAATAAAAACAGTGTGAAATCCTCAAGGTGAAAGATCAATAAAGAAATTCATAAAAATAAAAATTTAAGGCCTTAGAGTAAAAAGAAAAGGTTGGACAAGTACAAAAAAAAGTATGTCACAACATTTTAGTTTGAAGCATATCATGACATTTTAATTTTCTAACATATATCATGGGTACAAATAAAGTTTTCAGCATATTTGAGCATATGGGATTACCAAAATTATTGTTAAATCAATTCTAATATCTTGTGGAAAGTGCTTTATTGCTAGGGTGTTATGCCACACTTTGACAACACATAATTACATTTCACCATTAAATACATACAAATACAAGATTCTTAAACCTCACAAAGCTTTTGTATTCATGACTATCGTCACAAACTGTTGATGAATGAGTCCATCCCAAAATTGAAAAAATCAATAATCATCACATTAGGTTAAAAAATCACAAAAGAAATTAATTACTAAACTTTCAACATAAATGAATCAGACAATAGCCTTCGATTTGCTTAGCCTCCCCTACTATAGTTACTTCTGCATTTCTTGAAAGAACTTAGACTATGAAAGCCACATGACAGATTCAGGATATTTTGGGCAAATATAGACTGTTTGCACTCTTTGGGTGGTATGAATTATATATCTTAGCAATGATGTTTGCAATTGTTTATAAGTGGTGGTTAATTCTACTGTTTATTATGTAGGAGAGGGATGGAGCGCTGTGGAGGTAAACATGATATTTGCTAATACTTGCTTGCTCTCCAGATTTGCACAGAACAGGATGCTGCTAACAAAGAAGAAGAAGCTTTTCTTTTTAATTGTGCATGATAAGGTGAAAAGAATTGAAATTGAAAAGTTGGAGAAGATGCAGACTAAATCTCCGCGTGGTGACCAGGTGCAGTGACATGGACTGCACGTTGTACATCGTTGTACACGTCATCCATTCATAAAAAGCAACGGCCATTTTCTACGTACGTTTTCCACTTGATTAAATTTATGTTCTAATCGCTTCCTCAAATCGGGCATTACCTACACCCCTCTGCCATCGCTTGAATTTTTCCTGCCCCCTTCTCCTCTCTCGCTCTCCCTCCCTCGAATGGCGACGTCAATTGCAAGAATAGCGTGAGAATTTCTCCTCTCCTCGCACGGATAGATAGAAACACTCGAAGCAGTAGTGACAAGTGTAGATAGATCAGACCAAGGATCCATCCATGACCACCACCGCCAGATCGAAATTCTTCCTCTCCCTTCTCATCCTCTGGAAATTCTCGGCGCTCCAAGCCTCTGGAAGAGCTCTGGGTCAGGCGAGGATCCTCCCGGAAGAACCAAGCAGCAAATCCGCGACTCCAGCCGCAGCAGGGGTGTCGCTGGAGGGGAAATGGGATCACAATTACTCGTGCATCTTCGACACCGGCAAGGCCTTCACGTATCTCCACATCGCCTATGTCACGTACTTCAACATCACCTCCAAGGCTCCAACGGTTTGCTCGCCCGCCGACTGCCTCGACTCGTGCACCACCGATTGCTCCTGCTCCGCGGTCGTGTTTGATGCGCCCACCTCCTCCTGCTACCAGTACCACGACTACATTCCCGTCCAGAGCATCCCCTTCATCCCCGTGCGCAACCGCGACACCATCACCGCCTACATCAAGGTCCAGAATGGCTACTCCTCCTCCACGCCGCCGCGAATTCCCGCGAGCTCCATGGCGAGTTTCGCGATTCTGGGCTTGTGGGTCGCTGCAGCTCTGAATTGGGTGCTCTGGTGACCCACTGGTTCGAGCGGGATCGCGATCGATCGGGCACGGGGGCTGTGTTCTATAGCTTCTACAATTCAAAACGATAGAGCCTCTTTTAGTTTCCTTTGCTACCGTTTCTATGATCATGGCGAGAGCTTCTGTGATCATGGCGAGAGCGAGCAATCTTTCAATGTGAATAAAAGTTGGTCCAAAACGCGCCATGAATTGCGCAGCATAATTGAGCGAGAAAAAAGGGACAATTTTCCGGCCCCATCAGAGATTCGCAGTTGTCTTCTCTCTTCGATCATCTCGAGCCTCCCATGATCATGTAGCTGATTCTTTGGTAGATCCGAGGCTGGCTGGAGCGCAACGAACGACGTTCGTGGATTTTGCGGGGTCGCTCGACTGGAAAGTGTCCCTTTCTTTTTGCGTTTTCCCTGCCAAAGAGCGAGCGGATTTGGATCCATCCCACCACCGCTTTCGAATCTGAAGGGGACAGATCAATGTACAGTGTCAGGAGCAACAAACAAAGAGACGGCATGTGCTCTTGCCTTTCTTCGCTAAATATTGCGCTCTCCTCCTCCTCCTCCATAGCCACCCCCACCAAAGCAACGGCCTAGATCCTTGCACTCGGCGCTTTCTCCCTGTCCATTAGCAGTCAAAAAACTCCGCGAGAAAATGCTCCCCCTAGGAGCTACTTTGCTCACCTGAAATCCTTGCGACTTTTTTCTCTTTGCGATCTTTCTTTCGTTAGGCTCCTCGCTCTCCTTTCACGCATTGTAGCTCTAAACTGCGAGGAAGAAACGCTTGTTAGCAACTTCTAAAGTCTGTTTACTTTACTTTGAGAATGTACCTGTTCCCGCTTTGTCAAGGGACGAGGACACGGCACTCGAGACATTGTGCATTGTACAAAGAACGAGAAGAAGAAAGGAAACAGGTAGGATAATCTTAACAGGGAAAATTGAACAAGCAGAATACACATATATAAACACAAACCATACGGCACACTACTTGGTGTGTGCATTGAGCATCTCACGGTATATCAGGTCGATAAACTGATCAGTCTGCTCAAACAAAGACCAAAACCAAAACAAGAAAGTAAGAACACCATCAACAAACAAAGACAACTTTAATCTACCTGAACGAGCCGCGAGAGGGCATCCCGAACTCCCTCCCTCGTGATCAAAGTCGCGGAAACTGGAGCAAGCGATGGAGGTGGAGCTGGCGGTGGAAATGGTTGGAGGAAAGGCGCACCATGCGATGGTTGAAGAACAGGAGGAGGAGGAGGAGCGAGAACCGTGGACGCTGGAGGCGTCATGAAGAAGGATGGCTTCACCAAAACGGGAGTTCCTTCGGCTGGCTCTGGAGTCACAGTCGTAATGGCTGGGACGCTCGCGACCGGGGGTGGAACGACGGGTGCTACATTGGAAGATGGTGGTACGGTCGAACGGATAATGGGAACTGTCGCGACTGGAGGCCGAGAAGATGGTGGTGGAGGATCCACATTCAGCTGTAAAGCATTCTGTAAAGCAGAGAAAAAAAACAGAAAGAGAAAGAAATGTTTGTTAGATGTGAGACTGGAAGATGGGCTTACGTTAAAAAACCGCTCCAGTGGTTCTTCTGGAACGGCGCTTGCTGGTTCCAGTGGTCCCTCCACAATGGCCGCTGTCGGAACTGCCTCTAGCTCTTGAAATTCATTACTGCACGCTTCAGTAAGCACACCATGTCAAATCCAGTCAGGAAGATGAGAAGAGATCTACTACAACCTCGGCTGGCTGATCAGCTTTGGCTTTGGAGGAATTTTCGAGAAGGCGTTGAGTATCCTGTAGATCGCACCAAAATCAGACTTTCAGCGTTTCAAGAGAAAAAAAAAAGAGAAAATAACAAACCTCGAGAATAGCTTGGCAACTTCTTCACACTCCCGTGGATTGTAGAACCAGATCCCGTTAACCTCTTGCGCTGCATTTCGGTAGAGCAAGTAAGGCACCTGGACCTCGTACTCGAAATTGCTGAGGAGATCCTCGACCAAGTTCTCTGACAGGCACAGTCACCAACGCGTCAAAACAAATCCAGCAAGGAAGAGTTTTTTAGCGTCTAAGAAAAACAAAGAGAGAAAGTTGCAATCACTCTTACCTGTGCTCCTGCGATTCATGACAATGAACTGGAACCTGGGCTGCATCCGCCTAGATCACCAAGAACACAGAATAAAAACAAACCACACCACAAGATCCATCCTTGCCTTTTCACAACGAACAATGACCCCTCTACATCCTTTCGACTCTGCGAATAACGATAGGATCGAGCATTAGCGCCTCAAAATCCAGCAAAGGATCCAAACCCCTCGCCCAGAATTCCAAGCCCAGGCCCTTACCCACTGATTGAGGTCCATGCTGAACTCGTAGAAGGTAACGTGACCCGCGGTGGTGAGAATGTCCTCGACGTGCTTGTCCATGCGCTGGAGCACAGTGAGATTGAGCTCCTTGGTGCTCTGCTGATCAAGCTGCGGCATTGGTTTGGCGCTCTGCCCCATCGCCATCGCTCCCTCCCTCCCCAAATCCCTGCTTCTACTCTAGCCCCATTTTAGGGTTTCATAACGAGGATCGAACCCCTGACGCATTGCCTTGGCATATTCTCTGGTTTAAAACTAGGGTTTATGGGGAAGGAATATTCACTTTAGCCCTAGTCGCCCAGCATGACGACGCTCGTGGAGACTGGCGAGGAGGATCCGGTGCTCGCCGTGGCGCGATTCACAGCTGATGTCGCGTGGGCCAAAGCTGGCGCTGATGTAAGTGGCTGATCTTTGTCTTCCTGCTCAGGAAATTTCTTCTCTAGGTCGCGGAGGCTGAGATCTCCCGCATTTGCGAGGAGGCTGAGAATCTGGCCGTGGAGAATCGGTGGTCGGAGCTTGTGTCGTTGCTCTTGACGTCGTCGGAGATGGTTTTGAGCAACACTCCCGAGAAAGGTTTGATCGTTCTTTGTATTTTGTTGGAGTTAAAGGAGTTTCCTTTGTCTGTCTAGATTCCGAGGCTGTGTTCTCTGTGATAACGAATCTAGTGTCCAAGGCCAGGAGTCCAGATGAGGCTCTCGCGATGGCTGATCAGATTGCTTCGAAAGTTACACCGAATGTAACTGATAAGCCGGCACTTCGTTTGAGAATGTAAGCTCCTGTTCGATTAGAGCATTCGTGCTAATGGTTTCTTCTTTCTTCTTTTTTTCTTTTGAACAGTCTTTTCAACTTATACAACGTTCTTGACAATCCGTATGGACGTTTCCTTACATTCAAGAGAGCTGTGGATTTTGCTGTTAATGGAAAAGTCACAGAGCTGGTGACCCCGTCTTTCAAGCGGATGGATGCGTTCTTAAAAGAGTGGAACATCGCCAAGGCAGAGAAGAGAAAACTGTTTCTTGCCATCACGAATATCTTGAAAGATGGTAAAAGGTATGACACTGGCACTTTGTTCTAAGCGCATTTTCTCCTCAAACGCGTTTCTGTTTTGCAGCTCTGCGAAAGACTCTTTCAGCTTCTTGCTGAAGTACCTGGCTACATTTTCTGGAGAGGACAATCAGACCCTTGGAGAAGCGAAGGAGGAAGCTGTGAGAGCAATCATTGAGTTTGTGAAAGCACCAGACATGTTCCAGGTTTTCTCTTACTACTTTCGTCTCATCTCCTTTCTCTAAACTTTGGTGTTTCAGTGTGACCTGCTAGACATGGCAGCTGTTTGTCAGCTTGAAAAGGATTCCAAGTATGCCCCAGTTTATCGGCTTCTTGAGATCTTTTTGACTTCTCGCCTGGATGCATATCTAGAGTTTCAAGCCTCCAATCCAAATCTGTTTAAAAACTACGGTATGATTCAGCCTTGGTCACGTATTTGTTCTGACTAGGCGGCATGCGCAGGATTGGTGCATGAGGAGTGCATCACAAAGATGCGACTTATGTCACTGGCCGGGCTTGCCTCCAAAGCCTCGCGGGAAATCCCTTATGTAACGATCAAGGATGCATTAAAGGTAAGCATTTTTTCCTTTGTCCTTTTCTTGTCGAATGAAATCAGTACGAAACAAAACCCGCCAGGTCGGAGATGATGAAGTCGAATATTGGATCGTCAAGGGAATAGCAACGAAGATGTTGGATGCAAAAATGGATCAAATGCATCAACATGTTGTCATAAGGTCACTTTTTTAGTGATTGCTACAGCGGACTGACTACACAGATTTTTCGAATGCAGCCGCTGCACGGAGAGGGTGTTCGGCCCCACGCAATGGAAAGAGCTCCGGGCGAAGCTGGCGGTTTGGAAGGTATTCCTCTTTCAGATCCAGTACAGGGACCTCTAACAAGTTTTTTTCTTTTTTTTTAGGAAAATATTTGGAATGTGACAAGAAGTGTGGAGAATGCAAGAGCTACAAACGGTGTACCAGTGGCTCTCCAAGGCCAAGTTGTCCATTAGACAAGGAGGCGACGTAAAAAGTTTTGGTACATTTTATCTTTGACTTTAAAATGGAAGTGACTATAGATTGTGAGCCTCTCCTGTGCAGTCGGTTGCTTTACAGCATTGCGCTGATTTGGATTCCTTCGATACTGTTGAAATCCAATCAAGCGGTGGTGAGAATGACTGGATCTGTGTTTTCTAGGTGGGAGAACAAAAAAGGATTTGGTTTTCTGGGAAACGCACAGCTAGCCGACTTGCTCGGGCAGGTCCCACGTTGGAGGCTAATGCTCGCTAAAAACAAAGGTATTTGGCAAGTTACGTTTTTTACTTTAACTCTCGCGGATGATCTCAGGTCTAGAAGATGAGCGCGGGGTATCGAGCTGATGCTGTCGTAAGACAAACTCGTCATCTCCTCAATCCTTGGCGCCAATGCAAAGCGCCAGCACTGGAGGAGAGAAGTTTGACACAAACACAACACTGCTCAGTTATGAGGTAGCTTCCCTCCACCCAACCCGGAATCGCAACGTGTTTCTTCTCTCCAGTTCTTTTTGGTTCTTCCTCCAGATTTTCCAGCTACAAACAAGCGCAGCAGTCTCGAATGGTATCTTACTGACTCAAAGACTTGATAGCTGCGCAGCCTTTGATAGTATTGTTTTATAATCTACAAGCTTTGGCAAATGGATAAGCTTGTTCATTATCTGGAAGCTGAATTGAAAGAACATGAATAGTTTCCTGTCTCTAAGATCATTGTCTGTGATTGTATCTGAAAGCCACCTCGTATGAATACGATCACTATACCCTGATCTTTGTCATGTACAGTCTTCTATGTATCTGATATAATTCACGTATGATAGTTTTTGAGCTGCTAGATCACCTGGGAAAACAATCTGTACACCAACCTTTGATGGAAGGAAAGACGACCTGGAGATCTGTCGATGTTGTTGTTGGTTCGTCTTGTCAGATTAGAACGCGTAGAGCTGGTCCAAATCCGAGGAGCTCGAGGACGATGGGTCGGCCAGGAAGCGGCTAAAGAGGAACTCGTTGATGAAGCCTTGATCAGCAGTGGCGGCGGAATGCTGCTGGAAGAATGGCTGCTGCTGCTGGGAGGTGGAGTGTGATGAATCGAAGGAGGACGAGGAGGAGAAGTTTAGAGCTGCGTGATCGCCCACGAAGCCCGCAAACGCGTTGTATGCGGCGGCGGCGCTGGGGCTGCTAATGTCGGCGAGAGGCGGCGGGATGGCGGCGGCGTAAGGCTCGCTCTTGCACGACTTTGTCAAGGACGATCCCTTGTTGCTATAGCACGAGCTCGCGTTGGTGGCGTAGGGGCTCACCTGGGATGATCGTAGCGGCGGGAGGAACTCGGGATCGAAGAGCTTGGCAAAGTCTCCCGTGCTGTAGAGGCCGGGGAAGTTCTTGGAGCACTGGTGCTGCTGCTGCTGATCGTCGACGCCGGAAATGCAAGACAAGTGATCGTCCAGCTCGGGCTTGGCGGTGGCGGCGCTGGGCGAGCAAGGAACCTCGTGATCGTCCGAGTCGTGTGCCGCGCCGGTGGTGGTGGCGGCGTTGTCCTCGGACAATGCCCTCAGCTTGGCGGCGGCCAAGGCCTTCTTTTGGAAGATCCGACACACCACCCATTCCTCCTGGGATTCAGACAAAAGAGAAGTCAATCCCATGATTCATCGAACAAACGAAGAACAAAGGAAGAACACGAAAGAACAAAGAACAAAGAAAGGAAGAACACGAGAACGCACGAAGAACAAGCGAAGAACACGAACGAAGAACACACGAAGAACACACGAAGAACACACGAAGAACACGCTTAAAAAAACAGAGCATTAGGTATTGGCGCGAGAAATTACTCACCTTGGCGGCTCTGGATCCATACAAGTAGGCGGTCTTGCCTTCCAACCGATACTCGTGCATGACCCAATTGGTTTTCTCGCCCCGGGGAGCGCGGCCCCGGTAGAAAACCAGCGTTTTCTTCATGCCCACGAGAGAAGTTCCGGATCCATTGCTGTTGCTGTTGTTGACGTTGGATCCTCCTCCTCCTCGGACATCTCGATCTTTGCCGGTTGCTTTCCAGTAGCCGGCCTCGGTTGCCCGATTCGTACGCATCCCCGTCGGGTACTTACGGTCCCTCAAGCTAAAGAAGTACCATTCCTTCTCTCCCATGTTTGCTTTCTCTGCCGGGAAAGAAAAAAGAACAAAGGAGAGATTTTTAGAGGAATTTCGTCCAGGCAACTCGACCCAAGTGATCGATTCCAAGTTCCTTGGAATGCCATGAATGCAATGCAGCAAATTCAAGCCCAAGAACGTCGAGAGAGTGAGAGGAAATGATAGAAGCGAATGCGAGAGAAGATGAGAGAGTTCCTCCTTACCGGGTAGATCCCATGGCTCGAACTTGTTGAGATCGACCTCGGCGATGGCGTGCGCCACGAATTTTGTGTTGACGACCTTCTTGACGAGGTAGAAGGTGATGAGCTCGTTGTCGGTAGGATGGAACCGGAATCCCGGTGGAAGCCAAATGTTTGGAGGAGGCCTGGATCGATTGCTTCCTTGCTGCTGCTGCTGCTGCTGCACCACCATGGCGCTCATGCTCAGAACAAATCCCTCTCGAATGACGACCCAAAACAAACTTCCTCTTCTCCTTCTCTTCTTCCCTCCAAAGCCGAACGTGAGCCTCGAGATTGATCGAAGCTTTTGCTAGCGACACCACCGCCAATGGAATTCAACTCAATCAAAGCTCGAGCTCTTCCCGAATCCCAGCCCCCCTTTTTCGTTCTTCTCTTTTTCTTCTCGCGGCCCTGGTCCTGCAGTGGACAAACTATGATTGACGCCGCGATTGATTGATTGATCCTAATTCTATCTTTTCTCGATGTGTTCGTGCGCACTGTGATGATGGAGTGTGTGAGAGAAGACTATATCGAAACAGGAGAAAGAATGGCTGCTCGAAGTAGGAGCACTTCTCACTCACCAGTGTTTCTTGGAAATGAGCCCTCAACCTACACAAGTAACAATTTATTTGACTCGGACTTTGATGAATTTTTAATTCAATGGAATATTTTCTTTACTCTTATCCTCTCATTATTTTTATCTGGTTAAACTACAGATTATATTAACTAAAGCATGCTTAGCTAGAAATGTTCTAACTTGGAGAGACGCATTGGATTGGAGTAAACTTGACTGCGCCGCAGCCATATGATTGGAGCATAATTCACGCTGGTTTGTTTATTATTATTTTTATTTATTACTTTTGTACCCTTAATGTTTTCTCTCTGAAGTAGAAATTCTAAATTAGTTTTGGTGTCGGTTTCATTGGTATTGAGGGAATTGCGTGCATACTTCCAACCCGCGGAAACTATACCTTTTTATCAAATGTGAACAAAAGCGCCCCCTGCGTTTTTTTTTTCCTGTTCTTACCTCTAAACTTTGTCTCTTGATCAAATAGTATATTATAATTTTGCCTTCAAAGTCAATACGGTGGTGGTGCTGGATACTCAGCTGAATAGAGGACATCCATGAACAATTCTTCTACTTTGTTCTATATACAAACACGCCCACGCGAAAAACAGACAAAAACCACGCTTGTACCCACACTGAATGAGAAACATTCATGAATGTAGCTTGAATCTCTTTCTCCATCAATCTTTCTCCAGATCGATCCATGGGGTCGATCAATTCACAGTTATTCATGGCTTCTCGCCCTCTTCTTCCCCAAAATTTGTTGGTTCCCTTCGATCCAATCCAGCCAGCCAGCCAACCAACAATTCTGATGGCTCATATAACAACGTTTCTGGAGAAGAGAGAGAGAGAGAGAGAGAGAGAGAGCGAGAGAGAGAGAAAACCCTCTCTTGTCTCTATACTTTTCTGTGTGGCATTTTCATTTTCACCGCCACCTTTTGTCACTCGTCGTTTCCCACGTCGACAAAAGCCTTGAGATTCCCCATCCATGGAGGGGATATCCTTGGCGGCGGCTGCTTAGGGATCAAAGATGGAAGTGCAAGGAGTTTTTCTTCTTTTTTTCCTCTCTGGGCCGTTTTTTTGGCTTTTCGGAGAAGGAATCCGGGAAAGGTTCCCACGAAATTGACGTGGTTTTTCCTGGGTTTGAAGCTCCCAAATCCTTGTTCCCGACAAACAAACTTGTGGCTTCTTGGCTTAGCCAGCTTTTTCCAGTGGGAGAATTATAATAACAATTTAGCAAGCGTGTTGGGACAGAAACACGGTGTGGTTTTTGCTAAAAATTTGCAAAATGCCCGCCTCGCAATGGTGTCGGTTTTCGAACAGCTAACGGCCTTGGATTTAAAATCTCCACAATTTCGGCAACTGAAAGAGAAGCTTCCCTGAGCTTAAATACTTATCAAAACTTCTCACTAAGTATTTTGTTATGGGTTTTCCAGCGTTGATCATTCGTTGTGTCAGCAGCAGCAATCCAGTCAAATTATACATTTGAAGTTTGATAGTTTCTCGGCTAATCGATATGTATACGGTACCTTTGGTTGTTTCCAAATGATTCAAGTGTACCACCAAGGAAAAAAAATTTAACCAAAAGAGAAAAGAAGATCACAGCGAAGGAGACAGTCGGACAAGACACTCCCAGAAATTCCAAGAGCAGAGCACGCATGAGAATCTTGCCACGTGATTTCCAGACGACGATGGAGAGCCTATCCAAGCTCTCTTAACATATTTGCACTACAGCAGTGCCACCGAGAAAGACCATCGTCGAGCTTGTCATATTATACGAACTGCCGGAAAGTTATGGTGATGTAATGAAAAGGAAGTCTTTGCTTTACCAAGTTGCATTTGGATAATGATCAGGATTCGTGAACAAGCTACCGTCTAGAGTGGTCAAAGCCGTGCCGGAAATTATAAGTGCATATTCTGTTTATACATTCGTATATGTGTGAGTCTATCAGATCGGAATCGAAACTAGAGGACTGGGTCGACAGATACAAAAACTTTGGACTTCAAAGAAATATTTTACGGCCACCACCAAACAAATCAAACTACCACGGCCTGTGCGTCGGGGAAACGAAGATGGTCTCTCAAGGAGCACACCAAAAAAATGTGTGGAACAAGTGAAATTGCACGGCATCTAAACCCCCCCAGTTTGATGAAATCGAGATCTACATATGCCGTGATGCGATGGAGATGTTTCACTTTGGTACATCAACCCATCCATCGATCGATGCATCCAGACGTTTCAACTCGGCCCGCAACTCCCAGCAGCTCCGAAGCTTCAGGCTTCACTACAGCGCTAGCAAACAGCTTAATACCTTTCATTACACACAGCGCACCGGATTGGTTTGAAACGTCAAAGGCATGCGATAGGCGTGCATCCATCCCTTTCAGAAGCCCCTCGTCTTGTTTTTTCTTTGCCACCTTAGATACAAAGTCCATCACACAAACTTAAGATAACAGAAGGAAATCAAGCAATTCTGAAGAACTCATCTTGGGCGTAAACACCACATGCATGCGTCAATGTTGAGCGGTCCATTCCTGGTTTGGAGCCTTGGAAAGATGGGGAGTTTGGAGTCATGGAGCTATGAAGTTGGCCAATTCTGCTGCCCAGACTTCGCAGTCGCAAATCTTGGGCATGTCTTTTTGTCAAAGGTCCATCGAATCTTGGAGGCTGCGATGGAGAAACCTCTGCTCCACGCGTAACATGAGAGCGGAAAAGCTGCAGTATTGAGTTCCGACACATAATCTCGTGAGCTCGTTCGACTCGAAGGTCGGTGGCATGCCCAGCGAAGAAAACCTCGCGACTCACGAAAGCGTCTTGTACGTTGCCCTCTTTCGCTGGCTGGCCACAATGTGTACCACGTATGGCATTCCAATATCGTTGACAAAGAGTTCTCCTGCTTTTCTTTTTGTATGCTTTCTTCCGCAGTTTCTCGGGCTCCCAGCAATCAACATCTGCTTGTGCTCCACCTTTTTGAAAGAGATGACCGCCACCTTTTCCTTCACTCATGTTGCATTTGAAATGAATGTTGCTTGGAGCAGAGCTTGTAATAATAATCGAAAGTAATTCGACTAAAGTAAAAGGCCCCTGACCCTTCAACTTGCAGGAGATGGACTCGTCTCTGGCGGATCGAAAATCACGCCAAAAGTTCTTGAGATTATCTCCAGTGGAATGTTTTTATCTCCGGTGGAATGTTTGGGATCAGTGGAGTGGGGGTGGAGTTGAGTGGAGAATAGTGACTCGACTGATGGCCCAAAGGACAAATATTCAAGACTGATAGTCAATGCATTCAGCTGAATGTGTCTGCTTCCCAATCATGAAAGTAGCAACACAAGCTCAGATAGCAACAAAGCCAAAAAAAAAGCAAAAAAATATGGGCGTCACGGAGTGGCATCATCAGTCCCATGTAGGCGTGATGTATAGTTTGGTTAGCACATCGTGTACCCTACGACTCTGGTAGAAAAAGACACATCGCTTCCCTTTGATTTAATTCAATATCAAGTTCATTTGTCTAACTAAACAGGTTTAACTTTAAAAAAAATTAAAATATTGCTTTCATCTAGGTCAAGCCAGGAATTGGATCCGCTAGCCTACCTCAAGCTGCTCGTCAAGGTGAGTGCGTGTGATTTGGCATTGGATCTATAGCGGTTGCCGATTTCTCACGCATTTTCTTACTTTCCTTGGTCAGAAGGACCTGAGTAAAATCACAATGTCACTCTCCCGCCTCGCCATGGACATGGAAAATATGGTGAAACAGGAGTTTAAGATCGCTGTCGACAATGACAGACTCGCAGATGACAGTGGTACTCGCGTGAGGACCGGAAGAAAATGCCTCACGTTCGACGAGCTCGCGCTTCTGGCCACACTGGACACAAGAGAGTAATCCCTGTTTCTTAGTTTTCTTCTTTCTTGCTGTGCGTATCCCAGGCCGCTCGGGAGGGTGCAGGTTTGAGAAGGCTCGCGGGCGACGTAACAGCCGAGGATTCAGAGTCTAGACTACTCTTGTATTTCTCGAAAGCCTTCAAACCCACCATCTTTTTTGCGATGTTGAGCTCTATCATTTTCGAAAAGCAAAGGACTTGAAGCGAAGATCATTGTTCTCCAATCTAGTGAGCTTCACTTCAGGTCCAATTCTAGGAAATGGAATTGCTGGGTCTTGCATGGGCCTTGGATACAAGAGAAGAGATTAGAGCTTTGCAGAAGTCTAGAAGATATAAAGGCATTTTTCTAACAATTAATTTATATTGTTTGAGATAAATATTCTATAACTTTCTTTTTACAATGTCATGTAAAGATGAAATTTATGTGCAGTGCATGGGATTCCACTTGATCTGTTTAGTAGTGGGATGAGAAACATTATCACCAAAATTGAGGTATTGAATAAGAGCTTTTTTATCTTCACATATTATAATGGAGTGCTTCATTGGTGCTTTCTTGGTCACAGCCGCTAACATTTGTTCTTTCACCAAACATGCAAATGTTAATTTCCATATAAATTAGCCATAAGTGTATATGCAGCTTTGTTCCTTTTATCAATCTTCACCAAAGCATTATATGCAATCTTCCCAATTTTGATATTTTTCCACTTCTTACATGCGTTCAAAATGGTAGTCCAAGTTACACAGCTCGGTTCTAGAGGCATAGATTCTAACACCATCATTGCCTCATCCAAATGGTTTATTCGTCCCAAGAGATCAATCACTCCATGGTAGTGCTCATGCCTAGGACAAATCCCATATTTCATCTTCATTGCATACAAGCACTCCTTTCCCTGTTTCACAAGTCCTGCATGGCTACAAGCACTGATGATCGAAAGGAATGTAAAACTATCAGGACAAAGGCCAAAATCTCGCATGCTGTGAAAGCTTTCAAACATGGAGGCAGCATCTCCTTGGCGACCATATCCAGCTACAAGTGCTGTCCAAGCCACAAGATCTTTCAACAACATTGAGTCAAAAACCTGTTGAGCCGAAACCACACTTCCAACTTTGCAATAGAAGTCAACCAGGCATGTCGCTATGACTTGGTTGCTCTCCAGTCCACAGCGGCAAATCTCTGCATGAGCTTTTCGTCCCAGTTGCCAGGCCCCAACACTACTGCAAGCTTTGAGTGCTGCTGCTAGAGTTCGTGGATCTCCTCCTCTCGACTTAGGCATGGTGGACAGCAGTTCCATCGCCTCATCAAGTTCTCCATTTCTGGTGTGTCCCACAAGAAGAGCTGACCAGGACGCTGGATTCCAGCACTCCATTTCGTCCAAAACTCGCCGAGCGTCCACTGTGCTGCCACACTTTGCATACATCTCCACGACCACCGTGCTGCTGTCTGCGAAGTTCTGTACCCTCGGGGCTCGAGAATGAAGAGCAAAAGCTCTCTCAAGAGAAACCAGCTTCACAAGCTTCCCCTGGCCAGCTTCTGTGAACTCCTCTTTCTCTGCTAGCCAAGCACAGGCCTTGAAAGCCACAGCAAATGTCTGAGAGTTTGGCTGGCACTTTTCTGCTTGCATGGCTACGAAAAGCTCCAGCGCAAGCTCGGCTTTCCCATTCTCCGCATATCCCAGTATCAATGACGTCCACGGTACCACACCTGGTCGATCTATCTTGTTAAACACCTTGGAGGCGTCTATCATATTTCCACACTTTGCATACATGTCGATCAGACTACTGGAAACAAAAACATCCGAGTCACATAATCTATTCATGCTCTCAGAGTGAATAGCCATACCTTTCTCCAGGGCGCCTATTTTCATGAACCTCCCGTCCACTTTCGTGTCATCTTCGGCCAATGCCAAACCGATGCAAGCCTTCACTGCAGCAACAAACGTTCGGCTGTTTGGTTTGTAGCCTTCCTCCTGCATTGACGAAAACATCTGTAAGGCAGCCTTACACTCCGAATTCTCAACGTACCCAAGCATCAACGCATTCCATGACACAACATCCCGGCGTTGCATCTGATCAAAGACGAGCTTGAAGTCCATCACACTGCCACAGTTGGAGTACATATCAATCAGAGTGTTTTCCAAGAAAACATCGAACTTACAGTTGCTGCTTGAAGCTTCACAGTGGATGGCCATCCCTTTCTCAAGCGAGCAAACTTTCACAAGCTTTCCATGGACAGGCGTTGGCTTTTCTCTACCAGCAAGGGCAACACATGACTTCAGTAAAGCAACAAACGTTCGAGCATCTGGGAGACAAGGCTCAGACTTCATCGCTGCAAATAACTCAAGCGCTGTGTCACCATCCCCATTTTGAGCATACCCCGACAAGAGAGCTGTCCACGAGACGACGTCGTGACGTTCCATCTTGTCAAACACTGCTCTCGCATCCACCATACTTCCACAGGTTGAGTACATGTCGATCAAGATATTACCCACGAACAAATCCCCACTGCCACTTTTGTTACTTTGAGCTGCCTGGCAATGCAAAGCCATGCCTTGCTCCAGTGCCACCAGTTTCACGAAACCTCCATCTATCTCCCTGCTTTCTTCTCTAGCAGCAAGACTCGAGCACGCCTTGAGAGCAGCCACATAACTTCGAGAATTTGGCATACAGCCGTTGGACTGCATGGCTTGAAGTAGTTCTAACGCTGTCGCATACTGCTCGTTCTCAACGTAGCCAACCATCAATGCCGTCCAGAGCACTACGTCACGATGCTGTGTCCCATCGAAGGCCCTGTGAGCGTCCACCATGCTCCTACACTTGGAGTACATCTCTACCAGAGTACTTCCAATGAAAGCATCTCCACTACTGAAATCCTGAGCCTGGGAGTGAATAGCCATGCCTTTTTCCAAAGCCTTCAGTTTCAGCGTCTTTCCATCAACTTGCATGCCCGGTTCCTTTGCTGCTAGAACTGTGCAGGCCTTGAACGCCGCTGTGAAAGTTCGAGCATTTGGACTGCAGCCTGAGCGATGCATCTGTAGTAAAACGCCAAGGGCCACTTCTCCCTGTCCGTTTTCCACATATCCCAGTATCAGTGCGGTCCAGCATACCACGTCGTGATGGTGGATACTGTCAAAGACTTCTCGGGCCTCCGACATGCTGCCGCACTTGGCATACATCCTGATTAAGCTGCTTGCAATGCGAACGTTCGAGGACACTCCGGTTTCTACAGCGCCTGCATGAATTCTGCGAACCTGGGCAATGCTTCTGGACGCCTTTAAAGAACATAGTAGGGACGAGACATCCTTGTCTTTTTTCTCCTGTGCGGGTTTGGAGCAGTCTGTAGCAGTGTGAGCACAGACGCGGCCGACGCATTTAGATGAAGTGCTCCATTGAATAGAAGTTGAGCACTGCAAAATCAAAACGTCAGAACCGAGAAAAGAGTAGAATTACTTCTTACGCTGCTTGGGGCTCCTGGTCTCGCACCACATTTCATCATTCCAGCTCGTTTCTCCAGGACATTCTTGTCGAGACACGGAGCTACTCGTCAAGCCAGGGTACATTCTAATTCACTTACATAATTAGATCTCCATGCCCTTCGTTTCTCTTTGGACACCCAAGAAGGCGGTCCAAGGAACGAGTACCTTACTTGTCAATGGAGATAATGGGTCATCCAAAATTGCTCCCGTGCACTGGTTCGCCGACAAAAAAAATCTGCAACTGCAAGACGCAAATCTCAACTTCGAAATCAACAAACGCAAGTGGAACTTACCCAAGCCCCATAGTCACCACAAATCCAGAACCAGCTTCCGAGAGAGCTGATCTCTCCAAAGATCGAAACATGGCTTGTTTTCTAAGCGCTCGAATCGAAACGGCGCTATTCAGTTTCTAAACCATCCGCTGAGGCCTATTTAAACGCCGGCGTTTATTTTGGTCGTCCCTGAAAGAGTTTTAAGGTGATCGAGAACTTTGATCATAGAAGAAAACGTACCTCATCGTCCAAAAATCGTCTGCTTCTTCCGTCAAAGAAACTTTTTCGTCAGGAATGCCGATCATTATCAACCACCTGGCAGATCCTCTTTCTAAACACCCGCTGTGGAACGGGATGCAACCTGTGTAGCGAGCTAAACGCTATACTTCGGGAGCGTGTACAATCCTTTACACCGTGTATGTGCTAAGAACACTCTCATTCCGCGAGTGGATACGACGGTTAGAAAGAAAAGACGCATTTAGAAATCTTCAGAGACTTACATTCCATTCAGTCTCCGCGGTATACAGGGCTTCGCTTCTCGGCAAACGCCGCCAAGCCTTCTAGCCTGTCTTTCGATTTAAGCACCTGTCCGTAGCATGCTTCTTCTATCTCCATCCCAGAGGCGGCGTCCACTTCACTCCCACGATCGATCGCAACCTTTGCCATTTTAATTGCCAATGGGCCCTGAGAGAGACCAGTGCGAGTGACGAAACGTTACAAGGGAAATTATCCAACCCACCTGGTTTGAAATAATCTTCGCAAGCTCAAGAGCTTTTCTGTATGCATCGCCGGCGGCTGTCAAGTACTCGACGAGACCTGGACAAACGAAGGACGATGATTTCAGAAAGGAAGCTGCCATCCATACCGTATGATTTTGCCTCGTCAGCGCCGATCCTACGGCCAGTGAATATCAGCTCCTTCGCCCGGGACCTTCCAATTAGCCTTGGAAGCCTTTGAGTGCCTCCAGCCCTGCAAAAGTTCCATCAAGTTGATGGCAACAGATATCTTGCAGCTATTTACCCTGGAATTATGGCAAATCCTGTCTCTGGTAGTCCAAAAGTAGCTTCAGCACCTGAACAACAAGATCTCAAGTCAGAAACTCTTAAGTTCCACACACGCACAGAAACAAGAATAAGAACAATTGCAAACCACATATACGAAGATCACACGAAAGTGCGAGCTCCAATCCTCCGCCTAAAGCAACACCTTCCACTGCAGCAATTGTTGGTAGCGACAGAACCTGCAGTCTGTCCACCAGCATAAGAAAAAACAGAGCATAGAAAAAAGGACTAAAGCGAAAAGAAACAACGTTCGCACCAAAAACAGGGAAGAAGACTTAGGAAACATCGAAAGAAAAAAACAAATCACCTCCAGTGACGAGAACGTTGATCGCAAACTCGTGACAAACTTTTGGGCTTCGAAGACACTCATTTTTTTCCTCTCCTGTTACGCAGAGTTTAGCACAGACAAGTATGAAATCATCTTTCACAGTGCTCACCTTAAGATCAGCCCCAGCGCAAAAAACACCCGGCACAACACTACGCAAGATCACAACTCTTGCAGCATCGTCGTCCTGTAGCCTGTCTAAAGCGCTTTGGAACTTACTCAGCATGTCGACTCCAATCGCATTCTTCGCGTCGGCTCTGTTGAGCTCCAAAACCATAATCCCTGTGCCAGAAGAGAATTGGAAAACAAAAAATCCGCAAGATTCTTTCCATACCTTCCTCCGATCCAGACAGAGCGCTTAGCGAAACCTGATCCGCTGCGTCCACAAACAAACCCCTGGCCCCGATGCCCCAGGGCCATCGACGAGCTGCGCAAGGCGATCGCGACCCCGCCGTGAAGATTCTACCACTGGCGCTCGAGAAATCAATGGAATCACTAAACCCTAAGCGCAAGCGCCTGTGGATCCCAGCGCACCTCCGCAACGCCATAGCCAGGGCAAACAAACAAACGACTCCTTTTTATCTTTCTTACTTTGAAAACTTCCGCCTTTTTAGTGCCATATCTTTGAAGCGGTCAATCACGGCTTTCTGGATGAGAGCTTTCCACGATCATAGAATCGAATCTTCAGTTTTTCTACACACCTTCCTTTCTTCTTCCTCCATGCATTTTTGTAAAGATTCCATTGGAACGAACGAATCTTCGCGGCATCTAATTTAGCAAGTTGCCCGGCGACTTTGTTTGTTTGCTTCTTGGACACAGCTATGCCGTATCTCCACACACACACAAATAAATCTCCCATTGTCCTTTAAACACGTGATTCTTCACAAGCAGCTTCCAGGAAATTACCCGGCCCACCATGAAGCTTCCTTGTATTTGGATAAGTGGCTCGCTAATGCAAACGTGTGTGTCCTGGCGGGTTAAGATATAATAAAAACACTTAAATATAACAAGCATGCATTATCTAGCCCGCTTAAGATATAACAAACACGATTAGGAGCGTATCTAGCTAAACTGTTCTTCGTGTTCATCCCAAATAGAAATATTTTACACTAGATTTTCTCTCTAGCGTTTCAATCGCTCGCGCAAGATCTAAGGCTACCGATTGCCTCCCACGAGATCGAGTGTGGTCGAGGATCAGTCTCGATAGCTCCAAATCGATGCCTCCTCGCCCGATTCATCCTCCTCGTCACTCTGTTCTTGGCTCAATCGCGGCGGCGCGAGAAGCATCGCTTGAGCCATATCCGTGACTACATCCGGCATGTTGAAGATCATATCCTCGTCCACGTAATTCACCTGGCCCTCGCTAATCGGAGGCAATGCCGGTGCCAAATCGCCGCCTGATCGCGATCCCTGGGAGGAAGAACAGGGCTTTGCCACATTCTCGGGCGATTTCGAGTAGTGGTACTGCTGGGACGAGGTGGACGATGCAAGGGAGCTCCGATACGATGCTTTCGTGGGCGACGAGGAGGAAGTTCCCAGAGAACAGGAGCTAAATGCCAGGGCGGCGGCAGCGGCGGCCTGCTGGATCGACTTGGGCGACACCATAGCCGGCTGTGGAAGCGAATACGCGAACTCGGGGAAATTGAGCACGGCCTTGGGACCCTTGAGGCTGATCGCGGCCACGTCGTAAGCTCGAGCGGCCATCTCCGGCGTGGGGAAGGATCCCAGCCAAATGCGCGTCTTCTTCTTGGGCTCCCGGATCTCCGAGACCCATTTGCCCCAGCTGCGCCGCCGGATCCCTCGATAGAGTGGGTGCTGGGTCTCCTGATCCGACTGCTGCTGCTGGGGCGCTAGAAATCCCGGCGATTCCTCGCCCGAGACCTGCGCGGCGCTGGGGGAGGTCGTGCTGCTACCACCGCCCCCGAGAGAAGCGTCGTCGGAGCTCTTGCGGCGCCGGCGGCTCCTGCCGCCATCGCCGCCCTCGCGATCGTCGCTCTCCTCGGAGCTGTTGCCCGGAGACCCCGCCGCGGTGGAGTGCCGCCGCCGATTCCTCCGCTGCTGCGGTTGCTGCTCGCGGTTGCCTCGTATCGCGCTGAGAAGAAACTCATCAAAGGAGATCACATCGGTGGCGGCGGGCGCGGAGAAGCCCTCGTCGATGGACGCCCCCGCCGCCTCGCTCGAGGAGGAAGAAGCGCTGCTAGTGGGAACCCTAAATTTGGGGCGCCCTAAATCAGGGGACAAATCCCCGGCCACCATGTGGCACCAAAATTTTCCCCAAATGTGGCGGGAGTGGTTTTTTTCGCCCTTTCCAGGAACTTTTAGGTCAAAGCGCTCTCTCTCACGAAATCCCTCCCGCAAGGGCTTATATACTTGTGGACTCCAACGCGTTCTCTTCCACGCGCTCTAGAGCGTAGTGTGGATAATTCCTGGCTTGTTGACAGTTGGAAGGAAAATCACTCCTGGGACCCCATGTCACCTTTTTGCAAGGTCAGATAGTTTTTTAATCGCGTCACCATTTGGTCCTATGGTTGATTTGCCCGCATTACAATGTTTCGTGTGGCTGCGTGTTCCTGCACGCCAAGTTGGCCTCGAGCTGTATTAACAACCCAGCAAGATGCTGGCGGCTGGAAAGAATTCGCGATCTGGGGGCCAAGGTACGGCCCCATGTCTCCCCGGGATCGATCGTCACTAAAACGCTCCGGTCCTACCGTGTACGGAGAGAGGAATCACCAAAGGGGTTTTAACAGCTGGTGATTTGTGTGGAACTCATGGTTGGCAGTATAGTATTGAGTTGATTATGAAGCAATGTCATTGTGGGGTCATTAACTACAAGGATTTGATTTGAGTGGAGCTCTGTGTTGTTTGGAGGGGCGTAGTTTCGTGATTGGTTGCTTTGGAGCTGACCCGGAAACATGGCAACGCCACACAAAGCAAGATGATCGTGGAGGAGTACACTATAAATTTGCAGAGATTCAAGGATAACCAATCGATCTAAGGTTCCTATTGGTGCTATGGCATGCCGTGTGTGAAGATTCCAGGATGGTCTTCCTGCCATTGCAAATTGCATCTCTCGGCCATAAAAGTCGTGGGTTTTTAATTGGATGGACACAGTCCAAACAAAGGAGCGCTTTTTGGCCTGACGAGGGTCCGTCCATCCTCCCTGACGCAAGCAGACATTTGTTTTGGGATTGGGACTTCTACAGAAAATCATGCTAAACAATGTAGTGGATTTCATTAGTATCGTCGTGATTCGTGAAGTTTCTGCCTGATTTTCTAAAGCAAACAGCTGTGAGAGTGTATAGTGTTGTCAATTTGTTCTTTGTCTCTTGAAACAACCGAGTTGCCAGTCAGCCAGCGAATCGCTGGCTAGTGGGACTCAAAAACTACATTAATGAAAATTTAGGCTTGTCCTTGTCAAGGGAGGGAAAGAGTGACAAGCAAGAGCGAAAGGTTATTGGCTTTTGATCCAATCACAGCAATGCTGGCTTTTGACCCACCTCTGACGTAGCGATGGAGGATCGATGAAGACTTCTGGGCTAGAGTGATTAGAATTCAAGCTGGAAGAGAAAGAAAGAGGAGACACAGCCCATTGTAATTGGGCTGGACATAGAAACAAAACGTCACAAGTAGACTGGAACTAGGCTTTCTGTGATGATAGAGAATCTTCCTTCAGAGTTCCAGCTATAATTGGTTTCATGATGAAAGAAAACCTCGTCATGCACACGTACTATAGGTTGTAAATCAGGTAGCTCTTTGAGCGATTTATTTTTCATCCAAGCTCTTCAAAAGAAGCACTAACTTGGTTTCAGGCTCCGAGTCCAAGTTTGCCCAAGTTGGCAACATCGCGATCATTCTCCAGGAACCGGGCTCCAATCCTCCAAAATGCTAACCCCGTCCGGTGTGTGGAAGAAAGAACGTCGAGCTCGGCATTGTTCATGTGCTTGAATTTCTTGAACTTCTTCAGCGGCGAGCAAAGCAAAGCATCACCCCCAATAAGAGCAGCCCCCATGTTTCTAGCGCCACCGCCTGAAATTTTCTAAAAAACTTGCAAGACTTGGTTTTAAGATAAAGGAGTTCATTAATCAAATCGATATATTATATTATACTAATGACCATAACGCATTGATACAAGACAAATTATATACTAAGCGCTTGAACGTCTGGCAATCTACATCGCTGTGTTAAACTCCTTGCTTTTGCTGGAAGATGACCGAACTAAAACTTTGCAGTGATTCAAGGGTAATATCTACTTTTCTTTTTGCCGTGGCAATGCCGTGTATGAAGATTCGAGGATGGTCTTCCTGCCATTCATATTGCGTTCTCTGCGTCTCCATTAAAGTCGTGATTTTTAACTGCACGGTCCAAACAAAGCAGCACTTTTTGGCCTGACTGTTTGGGGATTTGTGAGCTTCTACAAAAAATCATACTAAAAACCAAAGTAGTGATTTCACGTCCTGATTCGTGTAAGTTTTTTCTAAAGAAAACAGCTGTGAGGGCGTGGCGGCATTCGTACACTTGACTGCGTTCATTGTCTCTTGAAACAAGCGAGTTGCCAGCCGCTCTCTCGTGGGTCTCGCACTCAAGAATGGAGGGAGAGGCGAGAGAGAGAGAGAGAGAGAGAGAGAGCAAAGGTTTTGGCCTTGATCAATGACCCACCTTTGACGTAGAGATGTCGAGACTCATGGACTGGAGAGATTCGAAATCAAGCTGGAAACAGAGATAGACAAATGCTTGAAAGAAAACCTCATGCACACGTAATTAGGGTTTATCACTGTTACTTCCCAGCCCTAACGTGCAAAGGGGAAAAGGAAACTCCCGCAAGGATGAGTACCATGAAGTTCTGCCGGGAATGGTGAGTTGGGTTTGCTCGTCTCGCGTCGCTGGAGCTCGCGCTCGGCGGCATCTTGTGTAACTCCGCATTGGGTGTCGGGAAATTCATTGATTTTCTCGAACGAATGAATGCTCGTCGCATTGAAAGTGTGGTTTTTGCTCGTGGCATTGAAAGGCTTTGGATCCCCTCTTGCAGTAACAACATCCTGTATCCCAAGGAGGACCGGGATCAAAAGATCTTGCTGTATGCCTGTCGGAACTGCGACCACCAAGTAAGATCTCTTTGATTCTTTAGAGATCCAGTCACGCATTTCACTGATCTCCTTGATCTTCTTCCTGGTGATTGTGAAACTTTCGCTACTGGTCAGGAAGTAGCGGACAATAACTGCGTGTACAGGAACGAAGTCCATCACAGCGCTGGGGAGCGTACGCAAGTCTTGCAGGACGTTGCGTCGGATCCTACGCTACCGCGTACAAAATCTGTTCGATGCGTCAGATGCAAGCACGGAGAAGCCGTCTTCTTTCAGGTTTGTGCCTCTCCTTGTTTATTTTCTTTCTTGTTTTTTCTCTTAGCTTGCTTTCATCCACGGCTTGAAAGTTGGAATGTTTACGTGGTTTCTTTTTTGCGGTCTCTTGATTTTTTTTTCTTCCGCTAGGCAACCACAAGAGGAGAGGAGGGGATGACTCTTTTCTTTGTCTGTTGCAATCCCAATTGTGGTTACCGATGGCGAGATTCATGATCTCGATCGCTGGTCACTCACCGATTACAATAATCTTTTTTCTCCCTGGGACGCTCGAAAAGTTCTGCAAGCTACGGTGTGCTTGCCTATATTGATCACATAAAATCTGATAGAAAAGTGAGAGGGAGTATCGAAAAGTTGTTGGTCTTCTCGCCACTACAACTTGTGGCTAGGCCGTCGTAAAGGCTAGAGCTTTCTTTCTCTTTCTCCACCTGTGCCCCCCTTCTTCGCCCAGGAATTTTTTAGAGGATCCAGCTCACGAGATGTTGAGTAAGCGGTCACTTCTCTTTCACAGATGCTACGTCCAAAGATGCCATGTTTAAAGTCAGACATTTGGAAATCCCATGCGAAGAAACATCTGCGTGGAAGAAGAAAAAAAATCAAACAAGGCGCTTTCATTGCCAGAGCCTGAAACAAAGGTATTACATAACTCTAATCGTGTTTTTCCTGCAGGGGCTTAAAATAAACACCTTTTCTGTTGTGAGCCTGGAACAAAGGTATTTCATAATCTTTCCACTTTCGAGTTTGGTAATCGTGTATTTTCTCTGTGGATCCAGATCCGGGAACTTTAAAAACGTTACCTTTTCAAGTGGCAGTTATTTTGCACGGGAGTATATTGGCAAAAGGGTCCCAGCTCTGTGGAATTATCATGTTGCTTCTTGCAGCCATGCAAAGTTTGCTTGAAGCGTCTCCTCGTCCCAGTTCATGGCTTTCTACCTCTTCAATGCATGTAAATAAGGTACGCTGGAGTATACGGTTCTTTGGCTGACCACCTTGACATTGATTTGGATGCTTTTCATTGTTTTTTCTTTTCGTTCCTTCCCTCTTTATATTTACTGAGGCTTTTTGTTTTCGTGTTTTTTTTCTTTTTTCTTTTTTTTCTGGAGGTGATGTGTGCCATTCCGGGTCATCTCCGTGGCAATTGAGAGCATTTAAGCTCCCTCCTTGTCGTGGAGAAATCGTCCATGCCTGAAAGGGGAGAATTGCGCTCGGGCAGCAGTAGTAGCAGGGGCTGTAGCGGCAGTGAAGCTTTCCAAAGATTGCATTCGAGCAGAGCAAAGGCAGTGCTGCTCCGCGGTGCCCAAGTTGTTGGTTTGATCCAATGGGTGAAGCAAAGTCACATTGGTGGCGACAAACGAAGTCTCCGGATACTTGTTGCTCTTCCCGATTCTCGTCCTCGAGCTCCACTCCAGGAATTCTAAGGTTGCAATGTAATCATCACCATCACACCGAGAAAGAATCCGCCATCGCTTTGAGCAGTAATGGTATGGTATGGTACAAAGGTCTTCCATTTGGTCTCACATCTTTTCTGTGCTTGCAGAGGCGAACCGCTCGTCCAAGCATCCCGAAAAGAGATTTTTGAGCGAGCTGGCGAGCGAGGCCACGAAGAAAGCGAAGACGAGGACAGGAAGCCATGCTCAGCCTATGGAGGAAGCCAAGGAAAAACCATCTTTTGGAAGCTCCGGAGCACACCACCGGGTGTACAGAGGGGTCCGGCGCAGGAGCTGGGGGAAATGGGTGTCGGAGATCCGCGAGCCCAAGAAAAAGTCGCGGATATGGCTGGGATCGTTTCCAACACCCGAGATGGCGGCCCGAGCTCACGACGTGGCGGCCTTGAGCCTCAAGGGCGACGCCGCGCTCCTCAACTTTCCAGAGTCGGCCGACTCGCTCCCTCGCCCCTCGGCCTTGTCTCCAAAGGCGATTCAAGAGGCCGCGGTGGCTGCAGCGTTTGCATTCGTCGAAGATCACACCAAGAACGAAGAGTTCCAAGAGTTCCAAGAGCCCAAAGTAGCCGCGGGAGTGCTCGCTTCATCAGCGGTGGAATCGATACCCCCGGCGACGAGCCAGCAAAAATCGATTTTGCAGCTCGAGTCGAGTGGCTCTAGCACTTCTACAACGTCTACTGCTACCACCGTGATCAACTATGTGGACGAAGATCTCGTGTTTATGATGCCGAGCGTCATGCTATCGCATATGGCGCAGGCTTTGCTCGTTGCTCCCCCGCCGATGTGGGAAGGAGGATTGAGCGTGGTGGAAGTGGAAGTAGACGAGGAGATTAGACTGTGGAACTTTGAGGAGCTCAATCTATCTTGAGTGACAAAGCTACGCTCTAGGCAAACGCAGTATCGTCCCAAAGCCTGCTAATGAAAGCTACGGGGATTGTAAGTGCCTGGCTCTATACTTCTTGCGCTTCGTGCCTCCCGAGAGGAGCAATGGTGATCTCTATAGGTGGAATTCGCTGGCTTCTTTTCTCTTTTTTATTTTCTTCTTGTTCTTGGCAGAAGAATGTTGAATTGGAAAGGATGCTTGGACTGATGCTGCTGGCACAAATCTATGCTTTGCCCTACGAGCTTCATACATGTGCTAGGCCCAGAGTATGCAGGGACGAAGACCGTCGTCTCCATTCTCCAAAACTACAACCTCTCAGCTTGGATTTTTCGGGTCGTGGGCCTGTTTTCGTTTTCCCCTCTTTGGTTCCTGAGCTCTTGTGAAATGAAGTTTATACTAGACAAAATAGAAGCTCTGAGAATGGTAACTCACTTTTAGTCGAATGGAAAAGTTTCAGTCTTTTGATCTTGCCAACTGAGATTCCAGTTTGGATGTTTCTAGAGCGCTTTATTTTTTTGGATTTTTTCTCTCTAGACTCAACATGGAGAACTGGCTAGTAATAAATTTGACCCAGCAGAGTCTTACGTTGCACAAAGGTGGTGCGTCACTCCCTCAGTAAGATGGACAGGAGGAGTAGTAGAGACCCATACTGTACAAACTCTTGCTATTTGTTTTGTATTTTTAGCACATGAATTATCATTTAGATTCATTTCCCTCTGACCTGTGTCCAATGCAAATGCAAGTTGATAGATCTGCTACATGCTTGAATCATCCTGTGCGTTTTGTACAGTATTATATTACTAATATCAGAATTATTATCTTCAAAGTTACAGGCTCGAATTCAACAAAAGCTTTCGACACAATCACCGTTAAAAAGTTCCGTAAGAGTGGCACACCGTTCTGTAACCCTGATCAAGTGGGTCAAATCCATTGCCTCTGAGTTTGTTCCAATTTAGCATGACTTGGTTTTAAGGCCAAGGCAAGTACATGATACAACTAAACATAAAGCTGGGAGGAAACTTATCCCTGGATTCATCGCCGCCGCCACCCCTTCGCTTTCGTACGCTTTCGTACTGGAAAGTCTCTTGTGTGCCATTTCACGAGATTTATGACAAGGAAAGAGATTTATGAACCGGCTAGTTTTGCTAACGAATTTGCTTTGTTGGATTGTAAATTTGGCTGAAAAATAACAAAAATTAACACCGGTCCAGCTTGCTGGCAGTACGTGGTCGAAAGAAAAATATTAAGATCAGTGTTGGAGCATTGGGGTGTGTGCTCTTTAAATGTGAAAGCATTGTTCTGTAGAAATAAAGTATCCAATCTTTTTCTTTCCCCTTTTTCTCGTTCTTGAACGCACACACACCAGCACAGCATGGAACAATAATTTCAGAGAGAATTATCGAAGATACTTGACCCTGTGTCGGACAGAAGGTCACTGCCCTGCCAAGTTCTCCCTGCTAAGTTCCCCCTGTTTTCCTGTTTGCCTGATTTTGAATTACTGTTCTTTTGATTAGAGCTTCTCTGCAACTCCAGCCTTTTGGTCCATATGATCGCTGCCACAAGATCCTGACTGAAAGATCGCTGCGTTTATGTGGCACTTTGGCTCTGGGCTCTGGGCTCTGCGGAATTCCTGCGAATGCGACGCTTTGACTATATCTTGTTTAGATCTATATGATTTGATCAGTTATTTTCCTGCTGTTTCATGTTTTGAGAACTATTTTACAAAGGCCAAGGAAAGCGGACAAAACTTCAGGGACGATTTGACAATCCACTCACCAAAGGACCGAAGTTGTTCATACATTTATCCATGCTTTTGGCTCACGCTACAAAAAAACGTGTGCTTGGTTCGCTGTGAGCTCTAGATTCTGCTACGTGCCCAGAAACTTTTCATACGAAATTTTGTCAAGCATTTGCCACTGCATTAGTACGAGACCTTACAAAATGGGTCAAATACTATTCTCATGCGTATGGTTTAGTATTTATTAAATCTAAACAAGGCTGAAAGATCATAGTGAATATACCTAGAATGTACAAGCTAGAACATTGAATTATCGAAATAAATCATGACTTCGTCATGTCAAGAATGTGGTTTGTAAGTAGCGTGTCATGGTGGTGATCGTGATTCCAACACAATCATTGGCATATATATACATTGGAAAAGTTGGCAAGCACTATGAACAAGGAATCAAACTATTCGCTACGTGGGTAAAAGTGTTTGGTTTGCTGTGGATATGTGCTCCACTGCGGCTGAAATTGGCAACTCATACTTATCCCGGGAAACTGCCAATGTTTTTATTTAATGCCCGTGAAATGGCCGCGAAGGAACACCGAGCAACAATTCTCTGGATTAGAACAAAAACTTAGAACTGGAGAACCTGTTTTTGAGTTATTTTTTTCCATCTTTGCCGCCGCTAGTGCTGCCTAAGATTTAGTCACTGGATCAAACGACATCAATCTCCGGAAGTTCTCCCACTCTTTCACCCAAACTTTGGCCTCGTAGCTGCAAACACTGTTCTTGCTATCCGTCGCCTCGACCGTGAGGAGATACATCACTCCGGACACTACTTGGCTCTTCGCTTCCACCAGTTTGGAGTACAAGAGCGTCCCATGGCCACTCTGGAAGGAAGAATCACAAGTTATATAAGCTTCCACATTTCCAATCTGGAAGAAAACTAAGGGAAGTCCACCATTTTCGATGGCTAAGTCATAGGAGAAGCAAAGCAAAGCAAAGAAGCCAAGGAAATTATAGGAGTCCACATTTTGTGTCGCTAGGCAACCAAAGAAATGGAGGAGAAGATCACAATTTTACTCTATGATCTACCAAAGAAACAAAGGAAGAAGAAGAAGAAAGAAAACTCAAAGCGCAAAGAAGCTAAGGAAATAGGAGTCCACATTTTGTATAGCTAGGCAACCAAAGAAAGATCACAACAACTTTCACTCTATGATCTACCAAAGAAATCATAGAAAACAAACTCAAGCGCCAAGAAGAAGGATATGATGGCTTACCAGCTTCTTGTTGTGCTCGTGGACTGCAAATTTCGCAAGCGTGACGACATTGGGGTCCTTGGGATCGATCGCGCTCCAGCCGCCCACCAGCGAGGACACGCGCTTGCCGCCCCCAAATTCGATCCTCCTATCCCTACCAAATCGACTCGCCTCACCCACACGGCATGCAAGGAGCATCGCTGCGACAGCGATCCAAACCCACGCGCGCGTCATCTTCGTCGCCATAGCCATCGCCAAGCCCAAGCATTCTTTGCCCCCTTCTCAATTTATAACCGGCAACCCTAAATCAACGGCCCCGATGGCGACACGTTGACGGCATTTGCGCTAACGGGGCGGTGCCTGTTAAAGGGAAGCTGTTAGGGTTCTTCGCGTGGAAGATCAAAATGCTGTATTGCGGAGGTATGTTCTCTTGTAGATTCGCTCGATTCGTGATTTTGTTTCAGCAGTGTGTAGCTTGCCACCGGAGTACTGCGAGTTTGGGCCGGATTTCGAGAAATGCAAGCCATGGCTTGTGGAGAATGCCTCGGATTTGTACCCCGAGCTTGTGAAAGGCAGCGTAAAGCGTTTTTTTTTTCCCTTCTAGAGGCTTAAATCTTTGCTCTGTTTCTTTGTTTCCTTACAGAGAAGATTGCTCAGCAGCTGGGAGGAATGACAGTATCGGATGTGGGGAATAGCTCTAAAACGCAAGGTAATCCATGCTCTTGCTCTAGAGCTGTGCTTCTTTTTTGTTAACTCGTTTTTTTCTATTCTACGTGTAGAGGAGGAGATCAAGAGGTTGCCGGGAGGAAAAATCAAAAAGAAGGTGAGAAGTTTTGTGATTTTGGAAGTTCTTTACGATGTTGTGTGCAGGAAAAGCTTGAAGTGTTGGTAGAGAGAGTTACCAGGAACAAGAGAAAGTGCTTGACAACGATCAAAGGCCTCGACATGTTTGGTAGGCAGCTTCTATTGCTTTTGTTTTGATCTCTCGACATTGTAATGTAGGTGTCAAGCTTGCTGACGCTTCGAAGAAACTTGGAAAGAAGTTTGCAAGCGGTGCTTCGGTCGTGAAGGTTTGTATTCCCTCGGGCCTGCTTGGATTTGAAGATAAGTTCCTTTTTCTCTGGATGACTAGGGTCCTACCGAGAAAGAGCAAATCGATGTGCAAGGAGACATTCTACTAGATATCGTAGAGTTCATCACAGAAACATGGCAGAATGTAAGCTACGTTTTTCTCATGCAATGTGCTAAATCGATTTGATTATACAGATCCCTGAGTCAGCTATTTACTTCATTGAGGATGGAAAGAAGGTTCCTGCGTGCTGAAGTTTCTGTTTGATTCTTTGCATGAGGTTAATGCTCCAAGTGTCTCAATAAGTTCAACATCTAGGACATTTGACACTTTTTGTTTTAGCGACAAATATTTTTAAAATATGGCCTCTAATATATAGCGAGAACAGCACATGGCCAACCAAAAGAGTGGAGGCCAATGTTTCTTATGGAAGTTATTCAAGTGTTGGTTTTAGTAAAATGGCTGAATTTCGCTATACACCCCTTCCAAAGGTCATTTTGTTCATCCTTTCAAAACTTTAGGGTTAAGATGCAATAATTGTCTTAAACCCAATCCCATCAAGCATTGACAATGCTCAGCCTGAACAATCATTTCGTGAATTTACAATTTCTAGTAACATTTGTAGTCTGTAACATTAATAACCAATAAGAATAATGAAGTATAAAGAAAAATTTACTAGAAGATTGGTACAAAGTACTCCACTGTAGACTCTTGTTACTTATACTCTTTGTTGTGCCCAATCTTCCCAAAAACAATACATTTCATGGAATAGCTGTAGTTTGGATCATTGTTAATTGCAACACTAGTAATGTTGAAAGTGATATGTGCAAATATCTTTTTATTAATATCATGGGCTTGGTGAAGAGATTTCCTCAAAGCTGGTAAAGTATAAAAAGTTTCAAAGCCAATACACCCTTCACTTTCTTTTGCACCCATTTCTTTGGCTCTATCTCCACTAAAAAAATGTTAATTTATTAAAATTTAAATAACAAATAAACTAAAATTATTTTGTCTAATATAACTAACTACCATTATGTCAATATTTTATAACTCTTTGTTGAGTAAAGCACATAACTTTTTGAGATATCACTAATGTCTCCATTCATTTTTTTGATTTCTTCTAAAGTTTTAACTATTCTAGAGCCATTACCTAAAAAATAAATTTTGTAAACTAAAAATTTAAAATAGAAAGGTATTACCAGTAAAACCAATAGTAGTAAATGGAGATTGCCTTGGTTGAACTAATTTTTCTGTTCCATCTTGATATTTGTGATATATCTCATATTTACCCATATTCAATTTTACCACTTTCTTCTTTTTGATTGCATTTTTATCCTAACATATTGAATGCATTATCACTTAGTGGGAATCTAAAACATAAATTATTAAAACTATAACTTTATTAACAATTTCAAACTAATTTGATGTAAACCATATGTAAAATATGTAAAACATATGTTCCGTGAATATGTGAAACATATTATATAGTTTCCGTGATCCCAAAAAAATCCAAGAACAATTGTGTTGCTTTTAAAATAATTTTATTTAAAAAAAAGAATAATTAATACTATCAATAACAACAATGTAATATAAATAAACTTGTATGGAAAAAGGCATTTTGGCCTGGCCTTGGCAATAAAAGTAACCTCCACTCAAGGCAACTCTTGCTATAAAGCATGTGATGGAACACTACTATTAAAAAATTATAAAAACAAAAAAGTATTTGAAAGATTTTTACAATAAAAGTAAACTTTGTTAGAGTGGAATCATGCGAGGGGCTTGCCTTATAAAGCATTGACAACCACTAATGAGCACTATTATACTAAAAAGCTGATAACATTATTTATCTAAAATGTTTTTGTGGTAGGAGCAAGTTTCACAAATGCAATGGAATCAAGGTCATCAACTTTTGATGGAAGTAAAATTACTTTGTATAATATAATTAACTATTATTATGTCAATTTCTTATGATTCTTTGTTGAGTAAAGCACATAACTTTTTGAAATATCACTAGTGTCTCCATCCATTTTTTAATTTCTTCGAAAGTCTTAACTATCCTAGAGCCATTACCTAAAAAATAAATTTTGTAAATTAAAATTTTAAAATAGAAAGGTATTACCAAAAAAATTAATAGTAATAAATGGAAATTGCCTTGGTTGAACTAATTTTTTTGTTCCATCTTGATATTTATTATATGCCTCATATTTACCTATTTTCAATTTTACCACTTTCTTCTTTCTAATTGCATTTTTATTTCGACATATTGAATACATCATCAGTTGGTGGGAATTTAAAATATAAATTGTTAAAACTATAACTTCATTAACAATTTCAAATTAATTTGATGTAAACCATATGTAAAATATGTTTTACATATTTTACATATGGTGAAACATATGTTTCTGTGAATATGTAAAACATATTACATAATTTCCGTGATCCCAAAAAAATCCAAGAATAATTGTGTTGTTTTTAAAAGAATTTTATCTGAAGAAAAAAAGAATAATTAGTACTATCAATAACAACAATGTAATATAAATAAATTTGTATGGAAGAAGGCATCTTGGCCTGGCCTTGGCAATAGGACCAACTTTCATTCAATGTAACTCTTGCTATAAAGTATGTGATAGAGCATTACGACTAAAAAATTACAAGAACAAAAAAGTACTTAGAATACTTTTGCCACATGAGTAAATTTTGGTAGAGTAGAATCATGCAAAGAGGCTTACTTTATAAAGCATTGACAAACACTAATAAGCACTATTATACTAAAAAATTAATAACATTACTCATCTAAAGGGTTTTTGTGGTAGGAACAAACTCTTGGAATCAAAATCATCAACCTTTAGTAGTTTATATTGCAAAGCATAATGAGTAGAACACTAGAAGAAAAAAGGGGTAAAAAACTCATTTAGAGTGTTTAAGGGTCATAAAAAAGTCTAAAATGCCACATAATATGTTTTCATGAGCTAACTCTTCTGTTCCATTTTTCAGTTCTAGCTCTTCAAGTACAAGTTTGGTCCTGTGTGCCACCTCTTCAATTATGTTTCGGTCACATGCCATAACCTCCAGAAGTTTCAAATTGATAGGTAGCAATCCCTTGACGTGGACTATGCCATCTGGAAAGAAAATCAATGGAAATTACAAATTGGAAATAGTTTATCAGAGATCACACAGGACCTCTTCAATTATGTTTCGGTCACATGCCATAACCTCCAGAAGTTTCAAATTGATAGGTAGCAATCCCTTGACGTGGACTATGCCATCTGAAAAGAAAATCAATGGAAATTACAAATTGGAAATAGTTTATCAGAGATCAAGCGTTGCAAAGCACCACATCTTACAATGACGGTTAGAAGAGTGTTTGTACACATAAGAAAGATTAGGATGCTGCCCAAGGAAGGCAGCCAGAAAGAGCAGCTATCATGTCCTTTTATTACTCAAGTAATCCTGAAACCTTTTGTAGTGGCTGTCGGAAAACTGTCGGGAAATTTGACAATGTAATCAATCTCTCACCTGGATAGAACTATCAAAGTTTCTTGGTCTTCTACACTGAAAATACCCTCCAGAGTTGGTATCCAATTTCTTAAGAACTGTGGAAGAGTAGTAATATCACTGCTCACGAGTTTAAAGTATGGGCAAAAGAATCAACAAAAACTAACGAAGCTCACCTTAGATTAGTCACTCATAGAACCTGTGACGGCATAAATGCGTGAACTCCTTTCCTCTCCAGCTTCTTCACGATGTAGAGCATGCACGCCATCCAAATACGCTCAGCTTCATTTGCCTGAAATCGATGATAAAATTCTTTTGGAAAACCACCAGTTAAACAAGGAATTCATTCAAACAAAGATGACGCCCTAAGTGATACAATTGCGTGAAGCAGCACCAATGCTCTCTCCATGTAAATCTCGCTTGCCTGATCAAATAAATTTCGAGCCCTTCCATCACAAGAAAGCATCCAGACCTCGCAACACGGCCGGAAGCAGCGATCATTGCCATCGCACGACGGCTGGAAGCAGCGATCATTGCCATCGCAAGGCGGCTGGAATAGACCCTCACCATCGCGGCACGGCCAGACATTGCACTGCAGGAATCAAGCCTTGCCATCGCAGCACCGGCATCGAGCATTGCCATGGCACCGCGGCCAGAATCGAGCAGCCTCCACCATGGAATTTCTGCCAGAGGCAGTAGCAATCGATCTATCTTGCTC